TTTTCTAACATTATACAACATTTGGTCAAAAAATGGGAAAAAAACATTTCGTCTGGCAAATTTAGTCAAAAACTAGGAAAAAATATACATGAAGTGTTTGTGTACTGTGTATATCCGTTTGTTGCCATATGTTTATCTCTAAATCTATATCTAACCGGCTATACAAAACTAATATCATCCCTGGAAAATAAAATATATATCTAAGTGGTCAGGATTATAATTGTCAGAAACCTAATCATGCACGAGAGAAGTGCAAGTTAGAGAAACAGTTACTTACAGGATTGAAATCCCTCAGAGTAACTATCTGACCATCGTTGAGCTGGAGGAGCAGGTGTTGTTCTGGCCCAACTTGAAGGAAGAACTCCGACAGCGGAGGACGAGCTGCGTTGGGCTGAGTGGACCTCAGTACTGGCTGGAAACCAGGAGTGACTTCAAGTCCCAGTGACTAGAAGAAGAAAATTGTAAAACATTTACACAGAGAAAAATAAGTAGATGTAAACAGAGACAGTTCCATTGCGTCGGTGGAGATATACAGAGAAGTTAGAGATGAATGGAGTCCTATCCTAACCAGAGAAAAGGAAAAGCATGGTAATTCTAGTATAGAACGTTTATTTTCTTGTAGTTACCTGCAAGGGGATCTGGCTCATCTCTGTCTGTGATTCCAAGTCCAGCATGTACAGGGATACAGTGGCAGAGTCCGCGCACGTCAACATGCCCTCGCCGATCACTGCACAGCTGGCCTGTATGTTAGACAGCCACGGAGCTTCCACTGAGAACTGGAGGCAACACAAGCAAAGAGGGGACTTTATTAAGCATATTGCAACAGTACAGCTTCCCTTGTAGCATTCCAAAAAAGTGTGTTTTATTTATTTCCTCTAAGTATTATAAAAATAATAAAAAAAGAAAAGATATATATAATAATCATTTCTACGAAGCATTTATATACTGTAACTACTGTATAAATCAAGATTACCTGTCTGATTATCTCTCCGTCATCCAAACTGTAAACAACAATTGCAATGTGGGAATGGGGAACGATTCCCAGGACATACACCTCACCATTTCCACCAGAATACACAGACTGGTAATCCACGGTTTCACTGATTGGATAGAAAGAAAGACCGACAGTTTAACATTTTTTATAATGCAAATATATTTTGCTTATTTATACCAGATACTTCTACTGCTGAAATACTACATTTTTCAATGTTCTGCATCATGTTATTGTTAATGCTTGTATTCATATGCGTTAACCAACCACATTAGAAAGAAACAGGTCCACTTGCCTTTCTGGTAGATTTTCTATCCATTTTTGATGACCATTAGAGAGGTAATGGAGAGAGATGGCAGTTTTCTTTAAAACAGCCACGTGCTTCACGATGTCTTGCTGTCCAATTAAACAAGCCGACTGGAAACTAAAATGCAGAACAAAAGCAGTTATCATCGGATCAATAAAAAGACCATTTTTAGACCTAACAAGTGAAAATCAAGGAGGTAATCACCTGCCAGAATCCAGCACAATCTCCCAGTTCAAACCACCAATATTTATCTCCCAGGAGCGCAGCAGACGGCCATCACCAACAACCAGCAACGCATCTAGGAGACAAGAACAGTTACATTTGTTATTTGCTTTCAATTGGGGAACTAAATGCTATGTAGGTATAACTGCTATGACAAAATCACCTTGTCCATGGTGCAGAAGAGCATCAATTTTTCCCTCCGGCCCAATCGCATCTACATGTCGCCAGACTGTAACAGACAATTAACTGGTATTAATATAAGAACACAAGGCATTTCAACTGAGAGGCGGGTGGTCTTTATGTACTTTTCAGTTGCAAATACAAAATACTCACAGAGTTCTCCAGTCCTGATGTTAAGGGAAGCAAAAACATTGTTCTCTGTTGCCACGATAACCTTTTTGGATGACTGCGACTGTGCGTCAAAATTAGAAAAAAGAACCTTGCCAACATACTGCTGCCTCCTGGAAATCAAAAGACAGAAAACAACCAGTCAGAAGGTCAACAATATAGATACAAATGATATGTAAAAGCAAAGGTTGAGTCCCAAAATTGATCAAATCCCATTGGATTTACGAAGGAAAGGAAAGAAAAGAAGAAGGACTTTTTGTTGGACTTTATGATGGTTATTATCAGATTGATTCAAAGCTTTTCAAATGCATAGAAATCAATATCTAACACATTTACTATAAGTAATTTAGCTTACTGGAGCTCAGAATTACTTGTCACAAATTGTGAAAGAGCCCACAGCATCTGCAGCTGGTAAATAACATGTATTGTATGATTTTTTAAAAGGCCTTTCTCTCACACAAAGTCCACCCTAAACAAGCCGGGTCGCAGCTTGTGGCTGTGACAGGTGTTAGCATTAGCATTTTTTCATTAAAACATGGCTCAAAATAGCACACATATTTGATTATTTTGTAGACTCCTCTTACCAGTCAAATTTCCCTACTTGATCCTCAAACACAGCCCCGACAGTGCTGCATAATATGACAAAATTCAGGCACAACCAAATTAGCTTTGCCATTGCAGCAATAGCATTAGCTTGCTCTTCAAGAGGGGGAGCAAAACGAGGAAATCGGAAGTGGACTGGCTTCCTTCAAGTCTGGTGCCTGAGACGTGCTGCCCCCTGTAGGGCGGTTGGTACACAGCTTCAATACATGTAATGCAGTGACCTCATATTATACATCCATTGCATCCATCCTTTATATATACAGTCTATGATTGCAGCCAGTGACCATGAAGATGTTTACATTTCATCTGATGCGTCATTCTACAAAAATGGTGGAAGTACTGTCACTTACTTTTGCAGACACAAAAATACATGACGTTGACCCAGGGTCGGCGTCATGGGGGGTCATTCGCGGGCCATGCCCCCCCAAATGAGTCACTGTGCCCCCCCAACGCAGGGTGGGCAAGCCTTGCCACTTTGCCGTTTTGTTCTTTTTCTAATCATATAAGTGAAAACGTTTCCACTAAAGGTTTTTTGTGTGAAATACATCAGAAATAAAGAATACAAATATAAAACACAGCCTGAGGTGTGCTCACTGCTGCTCTCTGATTGGTGTGTTGCTTGACCAATGACCCCCGACCTTTTTTTTGTTATCATTACGTGGCTGAGTGTTTAGATGAAAGCCCAGTGGCGATCTGTTAAACTGATTATACAGTAAAGCCATCGAAAATAATATGATATACAGTACAGTACAAGTACATGGGTCTCTGTGTTTCATTCAAGCTCTGTGTGTGTGTGGCACGAGCGCATTTTGTGAGTGCGCGAGCGGTAACGTGGAATGTTGTTGTTAGCATCTGGTTAGCTAGCTATGCTAACGGATATAAAGAGCTGTTTCTACACCAAGGTGGAGGAGAGTCCTCTCCTGTCAGACTGAGAGGATCTTATAACGTCAGCTCAGTGAGGTAAGGACTCTCAGTGTTTAGATAGTTCACTTTAGTGTAGGTTATCTCAGTGGGTCTCAAACGGTTTGGTCACCATTTATGTAAGTATTTTCGAGGAATACCTTTATATGATCATTATAGTTATTAAAGAGAGAATCAATGAAAAACGGGTATGAAATACTATAGGACAGTAACACAAGAATACAGTTTAAAAGGGGAGTGATTAGTAAAATATCCATAAAGAAAAAGTAAATCTGTGTACAGTTCTGTTTCATCTGGATGCTGAGAGATGTAGACTATCCATAGATCTCTTCACTTTGCTCTCAAAGTGCACCAGATTGATGCTTTTAACTTCAATATTTTAAAAATAATCTTCCCGGGGGAGCATGCCCCCAGACCCTCCTAGAGGAGGTTAGGTCCACCCCCACCTAAAACATGTTAACATGGATAGGATACTAAATACATTTGCACACTTTTTATATGGTGGCCTATGTCCATATCAAATCAAATCAAGTTTTATTTATATAGCACATTTTTCAACGATTTTTGGTCGAGCCAAAGTGCTGTATATATAATAAAAAATAACCTACAGTAAAGACACTTTACAGCAAATACAACGGCACAGTTTATGCAGAATATCAGTATGAGAAAACGACACCCTCTGTCCTTATATGTTTCTGTTTTGGTGGTCGTGCTACAACCGTGCATGTATGCAGAAGTCATAGGTGCGCTATACAATAGCACTACACCCTGCAATATGTGTGAAAGACAATAGACTTTACAGCATGTTTTTTTAAATTGAAGTTGCGTTGGTGTTTGTGTGTTGGTTGTTGACGGCAGTGTGTGCCCCCCCTTGGTAAATGATTGCCCCCCCCATTCGATTTGTTCTAGAGCCGACCCTGCGTTGACCTAATACTCACATTCAATATATATGTTGAATAAATAGAGATTGTCTTTATAATGGTACTGGTACTAAACAAATACGTTTAAAAAAAGGTTTTATTAATAAGTTGCCATTTATATAAATTGCCAAGTTCAAGGAACTGCCTTGTCACTTTGATCATACATGGAAGTGGAGCCTATAGTTGAATTGTATAGTTCAATGTATTAATCTGTTAACACTCAACTCCCTTATGGTTCAAAATAAAAGGTAGTTAGCAGATACAAACTGGCATTGATTTTTACTTGCAACTTAGCCTATAATATAATCAATTGCAGAAACAAATGTGCAATTTAAAAAAAAAGGTGCTGTCTTCAAATTGATTATTGCGTATGATAAAAAAAACACATTTAATAGACATGTAATGATGTTCAAATATCCATTACTTAAATCAAACAATACAATAATAAAAAGAACACTGTAGAGTAGTTCAATGGGAACATGAATTACATGTGCGTGATTTGTATATGGATAAAGGCCATATTTAATTATACTGTGTATATTTGGAAGCTTCTATTAATAGTATTATACACCTTTATTAATAGTGGGATTAAAAAACTGTTTCGTATACACTCTGTGTAAATGTTTGGATGGGATGTTGGGCTGACAGTTGACAGCGCCCCCTCTGATTTACTTTCACGGTGTCTTCTACCATCAGCTAGTTTTTACATGGGATTTCAAGATGGCGTCGAGCGGAGGAGAAGGGGAACACGAATGGACAGCGGCAGTACGGCCGCTTTTATCAGCCTCGTACACCGCTTTTGAAACGAAGGAGCTACCTCAGCTTATCGGGTCTATCATCAACAGGTAACTGGTTACATGTCAATTAGCTGCGGGTCTCTATTTGTTCAAATTCTACCCATGTCCACCCATGAGAGATCTGGCTGGCTAACATGCTAACTTAGCTTGTTTGGTACAGTTCGATGGGAAACGTTACGAGTTGAGCTAGCTTTAGCAGCTAACACGCTACTTGAGCTTAACTTGTACTGGCATCGAATATGCTAACGTTAGCTCACTTACTCAAATAGCTATTAAGCTCCTACTGGCTGGTAATGCATAAACAGTTTGAAACAAAGCTGGGCCAATGGCTGGTGTATGTCAGTCTTTAATGGGACATTAAAGAAGCGCAGTCGTCATTTGGCTTCGCAGTGTAAGGTTTTGAAAATCTGCTTCATCATTAGCTAGCTAACACAAACATTAGCCAGCAAGCTACCTAAGGGGCCTTCCAAACGAACTGGTACGTAACGTTGAAATAGCCACAGCAATATTTGACTGCGTCAGCTAAGATACGTTGGCTTTATTTGGTTTGTGCTGTATGCTCAGCTTGCATGTCAACATGCAATTTATACATTAACTAATAAAGGTTGCCAGTGTTAAACGCTATCTGCTGTGTGTCTGTGGCTGGAAGTAGGCGTGGACCATGTACTCCACTTATGTTTGATAAGGTGGTGATGGGTCGCCGTTAATGTATTTTTCAATACAACTATAACTTTGCGACATTGCTGCTTGGTAATAAACCGTGTAGCTGAAACTACAATGAAGCTGGTGCAGGGTCTGTCAAGCAGGGGAACGTATATTTGAAGTAAAACTAGACGTACGCTCTTGTATGTGCACATTTCGTCTGGCAAACCACCCCACTTTCATCGTCACCATGCAGTGAATAACAAATCAGTAGTACCAACACAGTGAATAGTATGGCTTTTTTAGTGGTGCCATCAGCTGATAACACTGCATTCAAATTAAGAGCTTCCTGGTATTTTTATTGGTTTCATTTTCCAAAGCAACAACAACCCTGCAAATACTGCTAACAAGCATTTAAGTTTCGTTTTCGAATGAAACGTCTGGTTTGGGTTTGAAAAACGGTCAATTATCTATTGAAATGCTTACAGTAGACTATAGTATATAACGTTTGAAACACAATTACAGCTATGTGTCACAATTGCAAGTATTTTCTACATTGTGAGCATGGAATTCAGATTATGCCTAATAGTTGTTTTTAAAATGTGTAACATAATTGTTGGTGTTTTAAACTGGAAGTTTAGTTGTCAGCATCAGTGGTGTGGCATCTCCAGCACACCCTCCATGTTATTTCACTTTCTGAGAGTTTTTGAGAAATGTGCTTTAGATGTAGTTCTATGAGGGTTTTACTAACTAGATGTTAGCATGTAGATCGATGTCTGTATATGTGATTGTGGATACTACATGCATTTACATTTTAATGGAACATTTGTGCCGTCACTTGAATACTTTGATGTTCTGGAAGCTGTAGAAGGCTGTTTGAAAAAAATAAATATATAGATAAGTAGGGATGGGTATCGTTTGAAATGTATCGATTCCGATTTCGATTCCGGTTCTGCTTATCGATTCCGGTTCTTATCGATTCCCCGTTTCGATTCCAAAATTGTAAAATAAAGAGGTCAAACGTTTAGATAACAAAAATATATTTATTCTTAAAAGCTTTAACTGAAATTGTTACTAAAAAATATACATGCAATACAAATGTATTGCACAATAGCTGTGCTTTATTTTAACTGAGCTATGCCTGTGGCAAGCTATTAACAGGCATTACACTTTGCCTTTTCTTTTTTAGTGTAGTGGAGCCTCACTTCAGAGCGTTTACCGCAACCTATCTTTGGTGTTATGAAGTGACTGAGCTCGTGAAATGTCTACGGGAGGGCGGGGGAGCATCGCTGCGGGGCAACTGTGGACCTCTGTCGCCTGTCAGCGCAATTTATATGATGCCGTTTAAAAAAATGAAGGGCGGTGCCGGCCGTCAGCGTACCGAGCCGGCCGTCAACGGCCCGCTGACGACCGGCCGTTCTGTGATTCTCCAGGTCCGCCCTGTATTCCACCGGGTCACCGCAGCACCGCGGTGCAGACGGACCCGCTGGAATACAGGGTCTACCGCGTTAAGGAACCGTTGAGCAGAACCGAAATTGTGTATTTTGTATGGGTACCCGGTACCCGGCATTTTCTTATCGGTTCTCATCTGGAACCGAGTTTCGGTTCCCAACCCTATAGATAAGGAAAGAACATGTCCCTGTGAACGATTGATGCTAACACAGGCTAGCTGTCCAGGTCCACCAACAAAGACAGCTCCCCTTTTTTCTGGAAATATGTGATTTAGAATGCAGAAACAAAATATGAGAGTTTAATGAGATATTTCACTTGTCGTTTGCAGTGAATCAGACATCCTTCACCACGACAAACAGTATGAGCCGTTCTACTCATCATTCGTGGCACTCTCTGCACACTATATCACCACAGTATGTGGTCAAAGTAAGTATCTTTTATTTCTCTATATTGTGATAGATATTGCTGCTTATGTCAGGCACTATATTCAAATGCTACCAGTTGTGTTTTGTACAACCAGCAAATCATTTCTTTTCTATCTCCCTAGTACCGAGAAATCAGCTGCTGTCGGTTGCTGCAGCATGCAAAGTATTGATTGAATTCTCTTTGCTGCGCTTGGAGAACCCAGATGAGGCATGTGCGGTATCACAGGTAAGGGGAAAAACTGCATTCTACTTAATGCTTATGGTCAATGTGTGTCAGTTTTCACTTCTATTAACTATATAAACCCACATGTTAAATTAAGAAATACGTTGCTTTTTGTTCTTCAGAAACACCTGATTCTTCTGATAAAAGGACTTTGCACTGGCTGCAGCAGACTGGATCGCACAGAAATCATTACTTTTACTGCTATGATGAAATCTGCCAAGTTGCCTCAAACCGTAAAGACCCTTTCAGATGGTAAGTGTCCCTTTTTAGGGAAGGATCAAAATTAAGCTAATAACAATACATTACTACTGTTAGTAAAATGATTTATTTATTCCAAAAAAGAGTCATTAAAAGATGAATAATAAAGGGACCAAACTAAGGTACTGACTCTGCTTTTGATTGACCAGAACTGTCCTTTTTGTTCATTTAATAGTGGAAGATCAGAAGGAGTTGCCCAGTGCTGTGAACCCAGAGCTTCGTCAAAAAGAAGTGCAAATGAACTTCTTTAATCAACTGACTTCAGTTTTTAACCCGGACCTTACCACCATCTTGGCCTCCCCGTCAGCATCACACATGCAGGCAAGTGTTGCAGAGCAGCCGTCCTATCGCCTGCTCCACTCTCAGCTACTAATGACAACTTGATTGAGTTAACCAACCTTCTTACTGAAAATAAACTGGTTTTTTTACGATATATGTTGTATGTATGTAATATAATTTGCCTCCTGATTAATCATCAGTTTTGTTTTTCCTCTCTAATAGGCTGAGAGTGATTGCGATGACCAAACCACAGAACAAGCTATTCAGGCCAAAATGAAAAATGCCTTTGTCTCTCAGAATGTGTCTAGCTTACAGGAACTCGGTGAGTATTTTTTTCTTTGTATCTTGTCTTTTAAGTGCTGATGCACATTTGATATCCTTAAGTATTTTTTCGAAAGACTGATATTATAGAAAGATTAAGTGTGAAGCATCTTTCTTGTAGTATAACAGAATCTTGGGGTGTTTTCCCTCAACCTTTTCACATGCAAAATGACTGTCCACCCCTTTTTTCTTACCAGAGTTAACAGTCGTTTTGTTTTATATTCCCAGGTGGGTCTGAGAAGTTGCTACGTGTGTGCCTCAACCTGCCCTACTTTCTGCGCTACATCAACCGTTTCCAGGATGCTGTATCAGCCAACTCTTTCTTTATCATGCCTGCCACAGTGGCCGATGCGACTGCTGTCCGCAATGGGTAATTGATTTATTATATACAATTTACATTCTTATATTATGATTTGTTTATAAGGGTCAATATCAGCTGTGTACGTTTCTGCATGTGTATTTGGTAACTAATGTTCTCTACTGATCAATAAACTTTTAATGCTTTAACCCCAAACCCAGATTCCATTCACTGGTGATAGACGTAACCATGGCTTTGGACACACTGTCCCTGCCTGTACTGGAGCCCTTGACACCGGGGAGATTACTGGATATGACCGTGCTGGCTTTGAGCTGTCTCTATGCTGGTAGGTGAAAAACTCTGTTGGACAAAATTAATTATACTGTTGTGTCCAGTAATTGAAAAAGTTTTAAACTTCAGCAAAAATTGAAGAATTATAGATGGGACAGAAATAGCTGTTTCCTTTACAACAAATGAAACCATAAAGCAGTGTAGTACTATGCTGGGTTGCTTGAATGTACTTCCCTGATTTATCAATTTTGTTAAATTTATTGAATTAAATTTGTACAAGTCAAAATAAATGTTTATTTTTTACCCCTTTAGGTACGAGTGTTGCCACCTGCATGGCCATTCTGCAGGTAGGCAGCGGCTTGCAGCTGCGCTCAGCCTCCACTGGGACTAAAGAGGAAGACTATGAAAATGACGCAGCCACAATTGTCCAGAAATGTGTGAGTATTATGAATAAAACATTCTCAAAGTATGCTCACATAGGAAATAATCTGGTGCTTCGTTGAAACTTTATTCAGTAACTTCTGTTTTTCGACTCGCAAGACTCAGTGAGTTACAGGTTTATTTCAAATGATGAACAAATTGTGGGGGCAGGGAGTTGCGTTCTGAATGGCTTTATGTTGAAGTTATTGTCTCATATATTGCCATTACATTTTTAGTAATATGTTATTAGTGCCTTGGCACCTTAAACACACCGTAAGAACATTTAAAATGCTAACAAGTACAACATTTGTGTTGGCAACAGCTGGAGATCTACGAAATGATTGGACAAGCCATCAGCAACTCCCGCAGAGCTGGAGGAGAGGTGAGTGCTAGGACTAGAATGATAGAAAAGTTCAGTTCCTTTTCATTAACTTTACTGTTTGTGAAGTTAAAGTAGGGCTGCTCAATTAATCGTATTTTAATCGCAATTGCGATTATGGCTTGCAACGATTACGAAAACAACGTAATCGAAATATATAACGATTATTTTTTTATTATTAATTTTCTTTTCTTTTTTACTTATTAATTTTTTTTTTTTGGTTTTTCAGTTGAGTTATACTTAAAGTTCAGGGTAATCAACTGTTAAAAACATACTGTTCATTTTATCCAATAAATTGACGTTTTGAAAGTAAATGGATAATCGTTTTTAATAATCGTGACATCAATTATTGACCAAAATAATTCTGATTCTGATTTTTGACATAATCGAGCAGCCCCAGTTTCTAGCAACAAATCTTTAAGAGATGACATGAGCAGTCCTACCAGCATTTGCCATGGTGGCCAAAACATTTTTATTTGGTCTTAAATTGTAGTTCAACATTTATTTCCTGTTACTTCTGGACCATGACGGTTGGCCAGCCTTCAACGTTTAACTGAGTGGAGTCTGTTGAATATGTTTTACCAACATGTTGGCTATATTATGTTAAGGAGTTTTCAGGTTGTGACCGTGCACTGCAACATGTTTGTTGATCTTGTTTATTTGTATTTATTATTTTGATATTATTTATTTAAATGTAGATATGAATGTATAATTAATTTTATTTTGTATTGGTTTTTCAGTTGATTACCCTGAACGTATAATTCAACAGTTAAAAAGTTCAAATTATTATTTGTATTTGTGTTAAAGTACAATAAATTGATGTTTTCAAAGTCAATGAATAATCGCATTTAATAATCGCAATTACAATTATTGACCAAAATAATCGAGATTATGATTTTTGCCATAATCGAGCAGCCCTAAGTTAAAGTGGTCAAAAAATACATTCATTTGATGGACCTATTTCCTTACTGCAGCATTATCAGAACTTCCAGCTGCTTGGAGCCTGGTGCCTTCTAAACAGCCTCTACCTGATTCTTAACCTGAGCCCCACGGCCCTGGCAGATAAAGGGAAAGAGAAGGACCCCCTGGCCGCCCTGCGCGTCCGTGATATTGCCGCTCGCACCAAGGACGGCGCGGGATCGCCTAAACTTGGGCCTGGCAAAGGGTAATTTACAAAGAAAATGTAATAAGTCATTATAATGTTTGTGGTGTCTCGGTGGCTTCATCTTTTGATCGTCATCAGTTAAGCATCACATCTTTTTAAATAAATGAAGGTGTAGATAGTGGTTACTGCATAGACATTTCTGGAAAATGTCATTTTTGTTTAATTATTATATCAAAAAAATAAATAAATGTTGTTCTTAAAGTGAGATGTGTGCATTAATGATTTGTTCCTTTTTCTTTTTGATTTGTTTCCTATAGACACCAAGGCTTTGGTGTTTTGTCTGTTATCCTGGCAAACCATGCCATCAAACTTTTGACTTCACTTTTCCAGGATCTCCAAGTTGAGGCTCTGCACCGGGTAATTTGGATAAACACAATACAAATGTTTGTCTGTTACGATTTATATGAGTTTTTTTAGCCAAAAATAAAACGGGTTCACAATTCTGTCAAATTTCATTATGTATTACTCCTTAAATGTATTAAAAAGGAACTCTTTAAAAGAAAGGCAAGAAAAAATATTATTATGCTAAAAATAAGTTAGGAAGGTTGTCTAGTTAGATTTTTAAAAACGTATGTTTAAAATAATAATTAAAAAGAAGGATCTAAGCATGAAAGAAACAATATAAAAAACAGGATACAAAAGTAACTTTGTATTTCTTGAAACCCGTGTTTGCAGCAGGGCTGGGCGAGTGACGGACCCCCCGCCGAACTCAACATCATGGCACAGAGCACTTCCATCCAGAGGGTCCAGAGGCTCATCGACTCTGTGCCCCTCACCAATCTACTCTTCACACTTCTCTCAACTTCCTACAAAAAGGTATTTACGTACTTGTAATTTGCACAAGTGTTTGTTTACTTCATCTTTCAGTGCAATGTAAGACGGGATAAACCCGTTGGAACATTCTGTAATTTAGACAGACGTGTGCAACAGAAAATACAGATATCGTTATGCAAAATATTGGAATGGAACCATCACATGATATATGTTTGCCAGCTGTTTCTGTCCTCCTCTTACAGTTGTGTGAATACAATCTGATTGAAACCTTTAATTGAAGGATCAGAAACAGTTGTCATTATTTAGAGTGTTTCTTGTTTTGGATCCATCAGGCTTGTGTTCTCCAACGTCAGAGGAAAGGCTCAGTCAGCAGCGATGCCAGCGCTTCTACAGATTCAAACACCTACTACGAGGATGATTTCAGCAGTACAGAGGAAGATAGCAGTCAAGGTACTTCATTTTGGATTTAAGTATTGCATCTTCACTTTCTTAAAACTGAACATTCTCCTTATATAATATTTATTGTCAGGACTTCATTTTTGCTTCTATCCTGGCACAGATAAAATGCACATTGTTCTGCACTTCATTATACATTTGGAATTTCGAAGTATTTGATAATGCAAGGATTACAAACTGTATTGGTGCGCCACATAATGGAGTGAGGAAATGCAGTTGTTATTGTTCGGATGTAATTTCTCCTGATGATTACAGCCAATGATGTGAAGCATGGCTGCGCAGTAGGAGCAGCCTCAAAAGGACCCTGCTGAATGGGGACTTTATCCTCTCTGCAAAAACAGATAATGATTGCTTACCGGAAATTCCTTATTGAATCATCTCTAATACTTTTCAATTACAATGAACTGTAAAGAGATATAATACATTCGTACCTTTTTTATTTGAATGTTTTTAAATGAAGGTATGATCAGGGCATCATGTAACTGTAGGTGTGATGGAGGGAGGCACACTTATGCTCTCATCACTAAATGAGTAAACAAACAAGCTAATATCCTAGAAGCTTTAAGTTTTGCTTTCAAGGTACGCTTCAGATTTCTCTCCGTGACAGTCAGGAAGCAGGTGCCGTCAGCCGAGTCATGTTTGTGTTCTGATCTCGGAGCTAGTGTCAGTGCTGTATCAGTAAGGCAGTGAAACAGGTGTGCTGTCAGTGGATCAGTCGGGTTATGGCAGCAGTGAGGGGAAATGCATTCACACACACACACACACACACACACAGTAATGTCATTACTTTTTTTGTCCCTTCATCACACAATGTGAACAGTGTAGTTGACAGTTTCTACTATTTCAGCAGAGAGAAGACAGGAGAAGACAAGTGCAGCTTGTGTCTCAGGTCAGCAGTTTTCTGTCCTCAGGTCCAAGACTTGGTGTCCACTTCACTGTCCTAGATTCATTGTGTTTTTGTGTGTCTCACAATTGTAGGCTCTGAGCTGTGGCCCTACTAGCTTAGAAAATGGCAGAGCCACAGATGAAGAGCCTTTGGCAAAACAGCTCTCAATTTGAAACGTGCCCTTCTATGGAATGAAAAGTATAAATGGATGTTTTTTCAAAGAGATTCATCTGTGGCTCAGTGTGGTTTGAAGGGTAATACCAGCAGTGTTGACATGTGGCTGCAAATGATTGTTTTCACACCCATCACAACCTTGTCTGGCAAAGTGGAACATGTACAGTAACTAACTACGTTTTGCAATTCTGTTGAGTCAACCTTTTCCCAGGTGCTTTCAAGAGCTGTGTCCTAGAAATACAACTTGTACAATGGTTTTGACACAGAAAACTTAAAGATTGAGCTTACTTTATCCGTTTACACAAACGACAAACACTGAGCAAAGAAGCGATGTGCTCCCAAGTCACATATCAGAACATTTATCAGAAAGTACAAACAAATGAATTTCATACACAAGCCATAAAGAGTCCATTGGATGATCGATAGATGTGTTTGTCTGTGCCCTGCCTTATCCGGCCAAAGTTCGATGCACACTTGTAGTTGTCAGACAGATCAGATGTTTGTGATAGCTATATATTGTGATGTGTCATCACTGAGGTAAATAATTGAAATTATTTAAAAGTTGTTTTAAAAATGACATCCAATCTTAATTTGTTGCTTTGATCATCATAGTCACCTTGCTTGTCATTGCATTTCTCGTCAGTCACACGTTTTTGAACCCAGTAGTATCGTACATCCCATGTCCAAACAGTGGTATTATTCCCAAACACGATACATTCAAGTTGTGCTTGTAAACGTTTGACTTCAACACATTTTTCTGTCACCTGAAACATTAACATTATGATCCTTCTATGTTGCATGCAGATTTGAATATCAACTTAAACTAAAGTGAAACACTTTTATTGAAAATAAGCTTTAAATACTCTTGTTGCCGTGAGGTGGTTTTCATGCCTAATGTAGCTTAAATATATTTGATTGATTAGTAGCTACTAGAAACAAGTCCTTGTGGGGCCATCACTTGTAAGGATAGGTGTGCGAGTGCAATGTGTTGCCAGTCGGTTGACAAGTGAAAGCAGAGACTTCAGTGGACCAACCGCTGGAGTTAAGATCTACAATATATTTGAAATCCAGTGAAAAAATAGATTGAATGTGTTGCACTATTACACACAGAACCTGCACTGGAAACATAAAGGGAGATACTTGTTCCTGTCCTTGAGTTATCTAGGATGAGAGGTGTTGAGTGGGTGAGGGACGACTCAAAGCCAAGCAGCTGCCTGTGGAGGAAGGCTCTCATTGTTTCTGAGCCCACGCCACAAGAAGCGTCTTGTATTTGGCCGGTCTAGGATTTCCTGTGTAGGGTACTGGACAGACTGAGCACTGGTGATTTATAGTTAAACGTATGGTTTATAGGAGGGCCACTTGAATGCACTTGTGGGAAAACGTCAGATAAGCCTTAAGGAGGTTACATCGAGGGACTGGCAGTTTGAAGGATCATATTTTAACTTGATATTAAATGCATATTTGTTGTGGCTAATGCATGTTGCTAGTGCTTTAAACTTAATTCTTAATTCCTGTTGATTTTAAATTATTTCTACTATGGAATAATGCAGCAGGGTTCTGGAACGTGCTTTGCTTCAAGTGTCAGCCTGACTAGCATTGCCTGTCTGTCACTGCTGCAAGTAGCATGTATTAATATTAACACACAAAGATAGCTGTGATCATTGCATGCTATTTTAATGCTTATATATGTAATTCATGAAAAGAACCCAACTTGAATTCACTTGTATGTCCATTGTTCAAAATGATAAAACTATGTTGGCACTACACATGTATAAAAAGCATTTACTTTAAATTCCAGGTTAATCTAGGAAGGATAGGAGCACTGACCGCATGGAACATTATTTAAAACATCTCCGAATAAAGATGATGTAGGTTTCTTCCTTATGTGGATAATCACCAACATGTTGTCACTAAATGTTCACTATTTATTGCAGTCCATCTCCTGCACAGTGTTGTAGGTGTCACAAGTTTCAACCTTTTTACATTTGTTTTATGCTCACACCGCTACCACTCCACACATATCTTGAAAGTCATGGGGCTGTTCTCTTCTTCACTCTTAGAAATGTAAGTAAATGGTTGTCTTTCTCTGCAGATGATGACAGTGAACCAATTTTGGGGCTTTGGTTTGAAGAGACAATTTCCCCAACTAAAGACAAAGTTGCTCCCCCTCCCCCTCCACCACCCCCACCTCTGGAGACCTCTCCCAGACTGAAAAGCCCCAGTAAGCAGAATCCAAGCGAGAATGGCAACATTTTAGCTGGCCGGAAAGACCCGGAACTGGTGAGGAGTGAATTCTGCCGATTCATCTCTACTAACAGCTTATGGATGTTTTTAACTTCCTACTTCTTCTTCCTATAGTTCCTCAGTTTAGCCTCCAGCATTCTGAACTTCATCACCACCTCAATGCTCAAGTCCAGAAACAACTTTATCCGCAACTACCTGAGCGTGTCTCTTACAGAGCAGCACATGGCTACACTTGCCAGCATCATCAAGGACGTGGACAAAGATGTCAAAGGTACAGTGGGGAAATGACTGCTTATCATGAATGTTATGTCACTTTTACCCCGATTTCCTTTTGTTGGCTTGGTAGCTAAGGATGGATTTAGCCCACAATAGATAGATGGCAACGATGCATTTTGTTCCCCTCAGGCTCTTCAGATGAAGCGTTTTCTTTAGCGCTGTATCACTTCAACCACACCCTGGTAACATCTGATCTTCCATCCCCGGCGCTGCAGGTAAGTTCTTTGTTATTCCAGTGTCTCCACCAGCATTTCAGCTCTCTGGGAGTAAGTGACATGAATGATGTGTTCCTTGTAACAAACTGGTTGTTGTTTGTCTTGTAATTCACAGAGCACCCTTCTTCAGCAGTTAGGTGTTGCACCCTTTTCAGAAGGTCCCTGGCCGCTCTACATTCACCCTCAATCCCTATCGGTGCTCTCTAGACTTCTCCTCATATGGCAGCACAAAGCAAGTGTGCAAGGAGAGCCAGATGTGCCGGAGTGCATGAAAGTCTGGGAAAGGTATGACAACCATTTGAATTCTCACCCGGCTCGTATGTTAAAGGACTGTTTAAGATGTTCCCTAGGTGCTATCACTTTAATATGTGGAGTGCTCACAGACAATGCATCGCTTTACTTTGGCAATGCTTGTTACGTTACCAATTAACAGCCATTTTATAATTCATCAATATTCGAGAACAGAGTTGACACCCCTTTATGAAGTGCTGTGTTTTTCAAAACTATTAATAAACTCTAGAAAATGTCATTGTTGAAATGCATACTAGGTCATATTTTCAAATATTTAATGAAATGTATTACCCATTTCTACCGTTCTTTCCTTATAGATTTTTGGGAACTTTGAAGCAGCATACTATCCAGAGCTCTGTGCAAGTAGAAGACGACCTGAACGTGGAGCACCTCCAGCTCCTGCTGCTCCTTTTCCACAATCTGTCGGAGCGCGGCCGGCGGTCCGTCCTGACACTCGTCACCCAGGCCATCACTGAGGTGGCCCAGAGCAAAGACTCCCAGCTGAAGGCGGTGCCCCTCAACCTGGCCCGGCTGTGTCTGGTTTTCGACTACCTGCTGCGCCACTACTCAAAGGCGCCCGTGTACCTTTATGAACAGGTCAATTGCTTATTTCTTTTTTATTATTGTCCTATCCTGAGGGTTAAATGCCATGTCTAGACCAGGTCTAGACGCATATTCTGTTACCTTTATTTTGTAATACTTTTTAGGTAAAATACTGTCCAGCAAATGCAGTCATTAATTAATAAATACATAAATATATAATGCACAAATCTAGAACAACCTTTAAGATCCCATACTGAGTATTGCATAAGGCTGATTCAGTATAAAGATGTCTTCAGCTGCTTAAGCACTTATTTCCTCTGGAGAAGCTATTGGTTTCACATCTTGTAAGCTCCACAGATCCACACATATTTCAATCCTTTCGGATACTGCCAAGTGTTGTTTAGAGCCATTTGGATTGATTGCCCCACCTGTAGGAATAACATGCCAGCCACACTTAATACATGTGATGTTAAATGTCTGTCTATTTATAGGTGCAGTATAACCTCCTGACCCCCCCCTCCACCGGGCCGGGCTCTATTCAGGATGGTGGCAAACGTGGCGGCTTGCCCCTTTACTATGGATTCAAAGAGGTGGAGGAGAACTGGGCCAAGCACTGTTCAGGAGGTAAGACTAAGGAAGGAAATTCACTTTTTTAACAACTGGGTAGAGGGTTCTTTTCTTAAACAAAAGATGACCTGTGCATGTGTTCTCAAATTGCAAAATTCACTGGTTGTTTTAAGCAATCACCTTGTTGTTCAGGGTAACGTCATTCTTATATTTCACCAGAAATGCATTACTGGGATATTATGTTGATCTAACTAACTGATCCTGCATCACTGGCTGAACACTTGTGCTAGATATAGGAAAAAGACAGAAAAATAAAGAGATTCATTTAGAAAGAAAATAATAATATGATGTATTTTCCAACCTTTCTTAGATCCAAATGTTCAGCCAAAGTTCTACTGCGTCCTGTCCCCTGAGGCGTCTGAAGATGACATCAGCAGACTGGACAGCAAGGTGAGACTGTGACCACTAAAGGATGAAGAATATAAATATAGATATTTAATTGTATTAAACATCATCTTTTCCCCCTGCTAGGTCTTTCCAAAGCTGTTCAATGGAGCAGTTAAATATGATGAACTGTATGCGGGGCTCATCTCCCTCCTGGTCGCAGGCTCTCAGTTTGACACAGCAAGACGACAGGAGAGCAAGCCAATCACTCCTATGGTGAGAACTCCTCCCATAAACTATTAACTGTGTAAAGAAGATGCAGGTGTATCTATTAGTCACTTTCAATATTTGAAATGAGGAAAGTGCAGTTGCTTACCTTTTTATGACTAAATCTTAAAATGCTTACAAACTGGCCAGTTTTTTAAACGACTGTTTAACATCTGTCTATATTACCGTAAACAGTTTTCTGAACGTAGCACAAATGTTGTTTTTGAAATGTTAAATCCAACGCATATAGATTGAAACAGAAAACGTTGTTAAATAAACATTTGAATTTGAGTATCTATACTATGAATACAGTTTCAAAAAATGTGGTACTGGCCAACCTTTTTAATGTGAAGCCCCACTAGGATGTGTTACATTTCAATCAATATGAACTCAATAGCCACATTTCAGCCCTGACATTAACTGAGTGGGGTTTGGAAAACAGGGCATGTTTATCTATCGCCCTGCACAGGAGGCATGCTCCCTTCAGTACTACTTCCTCATCCTGTGGAGGATCCTGGGAGTTTTACCACCGTCCAAGGCCTACATGGAGCAGCTGAAGACGGGCTGCAGTGATCCCAGTGAGAGCGACATCCTGCACACCCTGCGATGGTCCTCACGTCTCCGGGTGCCAACATACGTGAACTGGATCAAGGTCTGTCTACTATGTCTTACAGAATGCTAATCAGCACGATGGATGCCAAAAAATGAATTGATCAAATATATTACATTTCACTTTGAATTCATGGCCAATGTTACGGTATTTTTGATAATTCCACTGAGCATCACTCGACAAATGTGTCTAAATTGGATGCTGCAGATAGCTTTTCTGAATGTATACATTTTTGATTGAAAATACGTTGGTGTCCTTTTTATTGTAATGAAAAATCGACCTTAATTTTTCACGTGTTGTTGAACTCTGCGTATGTGATCACTGACAGGAACACCTGGTGAAGCAGGGGTTGAAAGAAGACCAAGCAGCCACTCTGGTTGACGCGACGGCTGCTAAGTGCAGCACCGTTAAATACGATGTGGAGCTAGCAGAGGAGTACATTGCCAGACAGGTATTGATTACAACATAGTCTTTATTGACCTTTGTATCGATTGTTATCCAAACTAAGTTCTGATCACAAGTGTCACTCTCTTGACGACTTGATTCTGTTGCAGATTTCCACCTTCTCAAGTGTAGACCCGAACGCAATCCTTCCGCTTGATCAGCTTCCCTCTCTACAAGCCATCTACACGCTGGATGCAGTCATCTCTAAAGTGCAGGTGTCCTTAGACGAGCATATGTCCAAGGTGGCCATTGAAGCAGACGCCCACAAGTCATCTGAGATCACAAAGAACCTACTGCCTGCAACACTGCAGCTCACTGACGTCTACACGGCCTTCACACGGTGAGAAAGGAATCGCTCTCACTTCTGCTCTTTTGTTAACACTAAGCATCACACACACTGTTGTCTACGTCACAAATTAGATCTAGCAATCTGAAATAATACAAGGAGATGATTGAAATAACTGCAGGACAGATTTGTGTATGCTTTATCTTTTGGATAATGAAGATGCATCAATTACAACTATTTTCCAGTTTTTAGTTTTTGTATGTTATATAACAGGGGTACTCAAATACAAATCTTAAAGGTCCAAAATAAATGTTTCAATAAGACAAAGGTCCGTTTATTACGGTCATTCAAACTTTTAAACAATTGCAACAAGATTCTTAACACGAGGTTGCAAAAACAAAAATAATCTGTATGCAGCAGTTTTCATTGTTATTGTGTCTGTGCTTGACCCCTCAGAGTCGCAGTGTAAGAGCTGCACAGTTATGAATAAAGGCAGCTGCACCCTCTTTCATTCAGCATTCCCATTATTGCTTTATAAATGTATTCCCCCTTGTGCGTCCACTGAGGTTCGTCAGGCCCAACACATCTTCAACAAACTCCCCCTTTGCCTCATCATAAAAACTCACAAACACCAGCAACTGAGCATTGTCAGTGGTGTCAGTGGACTCACCCACAGCTAAGGAAATGCACTGTGCATTTTTTTATTCCATCACAAAGCTGATGAATCAAATCACCAGCCAGTATTTATGTTCTTCTGGTTGCTGTGGAATCTGAGAGGGGATTTGCTTGATTTGACCTGTTATTTCCTCTTTTTGTTTGCCTTCAACATGGTCTCCATCACTTCAGTCATGCATTCTTTTATACTTCAGTTATTATCCAGTGGAAAGTCCTTACCTACTGGCCTAGTTCAATCAAAGTGGTTACTCTTTTTTGGCTGGGCAGTGTAGTTTTACACACCGTCTTATTTGACTTTCTCAGGACTTAAAACAGTTTTTTGGGGGCAGACCCCCTCAAAGAAAAAAATATATTTACACACGTAAGGTCATCATCTTAATAGTTGTGTATGCTCATCCATGAGCAGAGCATCAAGTTGACATGTCTATTACAGCTGAATGCGGCGATTACCATCTTGTTCAGCAAAACGCCTCACAAACGTATTAATCAACAGCTGTAGTGCGTTTTGATTCAATGCTGAGTACAGTCAAACTGACAGTCTCTTCTCTGTCATTGGAGACCGCAACTACCTCATTCCTTCAGCGCTTGGGTCCGAATGCTTCCCGTCCAGTTCAAAATGAAATCGCCGCCAATCGTATGTCCACGCTCGCGCCAGGACCGGGGGAGGGGTTACATGACGTGCATCTTGTGCTGCATTCACTTGCACTCGGACATTAGAGACTTTCTCTCATAAATGTCCGATGAGCCACAACTTTTCTTTCAAAACAAAGCTGCCAACTGGGGTGGCAGCTGGGGTGGCAAGGCCTATTTTTAGGGTGGCAGTTGCCACCCCGGTAGGTGAAACTAGGCTACTAGCTACAGTACAGATGGAACTAGATGAGCTGTTAACTCTCGCTCTGAATTTTTTTTTTTTAAATTCTCGCTCTGATTTAGACAGGTTGAAAGAGACACACACATTTTTCCCACTCGCATTCCACGAAGACCCGCCCTACTGTGCCTCTGATTCGCAGATTGTTTGGGGGGAAAAAACGCTGACTGGATGCTGAATGTGATTGGACCAAAGCGTTGACACACACAGGTGGAACACAGTGGAACAGTCAGACATGCAGAGCGCTGTTTGCAGTGGACATAGCGGAGAATTTTGACTCGTTGCGAATGCGTTGTGGCGATGTCTCACATATAATACAGAGAGATCATACATATGAAAAGTATAATTTGCTCAGAGTCCGGAGACAGTGGTGGTTCGGTCCGGATCCGGACCGGAGTCCGTAGTTTGAGGATGCCTGTTATATAAAGTATGTTTTATGCATGACTTTTTGGGCTTTAAAGTAACTACACATGTTTTACAGAAACTACAAAGGACATGTTTGTTTACTTGTTATGATCACTTAATTTGCTTGCAAAGATAGCTGTGGTCTCATACCGGCACCCTGCCAAACAGTCATTTTTAAAGAGTTCTATTCAAAAAGTATATAAGGGTGTGTTAAGATGTTCTTTATTCACCTGTTAGTGTTTTTTCCTTAATCCTGCTTCATACAAAAATAAGGTTTAAACTGTAAATCTTTGATCTGTTTATCTGATACGATAACTAAATAAACCTTGTTGTGACCAGGTCCTACCTACTGATGAACATCCCAGAGGAAGGGGAGAACAAGCTTACTGATGCCAAGCTCAGAGGTTATGCTGCGGTTTTGTCTATCGGCTCCACCCGCTGCAAGGCCAACCTGTTAGGTATGTGAAAGAATAGAAAAGAATACAGCGTTCACTATCACAACTTTTCTGTTCACTCATTGTTTTAACCGGAACTTTAATGAAACTTTACAGGTCAAAGTATTATGCAGAACTTGCCATCGGCTGTTCAGACAATATGTGAGACTTGGAACGGCATCAACACCAATGAATTCCCAAACATTGGCTCATGGGTACGTCCTTTCAGTTTTTGCCTATGGTTTGACTTTGTCCGTCTTTGTAAACACTTGATAAATGTAGTCTAATCACTGTTTAGGGTGGTTTTGCCTTTATTATACCAGTTTGCTGGTATAGTAAAGGATTGACTGTTAAGTCTGCCTTGAAAAACAATGTGTTCAATTATAATAGGCAACCAATTAAAAATTAGGGATATTATCTAAAATATTTACCTTAAAGCAGGGGTGTCAAACTCACGGCCCGGGGGCCAAATCCGGCCTGTGACTTCATTTTCTGTGGCCCCACAAGAGCTTGCAAAGAATATAATATGTTTATTATACGGTTACATGCCGATTTACAGAAGCACGTTGCACATAAACTACATGTCCCACAATGCATCTCAAATTAGACTTTTTTTCTTAGAATTTGACTTTTTTTTTCTCCAGAATTTGGCTTTTCTTTTTAAATCATTTTATGACCTGCTCACTGAAGAGACTTGCAATTATTTGCCGCACACATCTGCTTTCAGACGTAGTTAATTATGTAGTTATTACCCTATCCCATCCAATGCAGAGGCAAACATGTAATATAATACATTATTTTATATATATATTATATATGTATATATGTATTTTTGTATAGTTACAACCGGTTGTTTGAGTGCAACCATAATGCTGATGTGGCCCGTGATGAAATTGAGTTTGACACCCCTGCCTTAAATCATTTAATGATTAAGAAAAATAAATCTTATATAATTTAGAAAAGTATTAAAATATCACGGTATCTTTATCTACATACCCAGCACTACTCTGTATCTCATTGAAAAAATATATTGTTCTGACAATTATGAAAATAATAGTCTTGTGTGTTTATTTTTTTTCCCCACAGCGAAATGCATTTGCCAATGATACCATCCCATCAGAAAGCTACATCAGTGCCATCCAGGCAGCTCACCTGGGCACACTGAGCTGTCAGTCCTTGCCTCTGGCCTCTTCTCTCAAACACATTCTGCTCTCTTTGGTCCGTCTCACTGGCGACCTCATTGTGTAAGTCGAGTCACTTAACATATGACAAATGTGGTGGGTGAAATATATTCATAAAAGAACACTAAATCCTGTGTTAATACTGCTGCATGTTTGTGTCCTCAGCACAGAGGAGTTGAATCCCTCCCAGGTGGTGCGCACCCTGCTGCCCCTCCTACTGGAGAGCAGCACGGAGAGCGTGGCTGAGATCAGCAGCACCTCCCTGGAGCGCATCCTCGGCCCAGCCGAGTCCGACGCCTTCCTCGCCCGAATCTACGAGCGCTTGGTGACTGGGTGTTACAACATCATCGCCCATCACTCAGACCCCACCAGGTATGCCATGTGTGATCTGGTAATTAAGTAAACCTACATGACATGTATATTTACTTTTTTTGAGGTGCTTAAACTCACAGCCCACATTTATTGTTTGATATGAGTCTCACTGCTTCTTTTAAACTCTTTAATCTTCTGCAGTGGTTTGGACGAGTCTGTCCTTGAGGAATGCCTTCAGTACCTTGAAAAGCAGCTTGAGAGCATTCAAGTCCGCAAGGCCATGGAAGAGTTCTTTTCATTCAGGTATTTGCTCAACTGATGACACGGGCTGAATTATTACACATTTACACTGTTACCTCTCTTACCTTGTGCTCCAATTCTTTGCCAGTGGAGAGCTGGTCCAGATTATGATGGCGACCGCCAACGAGAGTCTGTCAGCAAAGTTCTGCAACAGGGTGCTCAAATTCTTCACCAAGCTTTTCCAGCTCAGTAAGTCTACTTTTAGCAACATTTATTTAAATCAAGAAAAACTATCACAAGGTCAATATGTGCTTCAAATGGCATGGTTTCAATGAAACATGCCATTTGAGTGAAAAGCCTGCCTTCATTGAGAGGATTATACCAAAAATATGTCGTCCCCTCTTTTCACCAGGCAAATAGTTGTGTAAAGTTTTTAGCTTGGCCATAATTAACAAAAGGTTAAGTTGTCAGGGAGAGGGTTTCGGATACCTTTTTGATTATCCAACAAACAATGTGTTTTTGAAGCATACTGACTAGAGATGTTAAGATTCACCGATTCGCATCGGTGCACCGGCATAAACGTTCAAGATGCGAGTGCACCGGTTGAAAGAGTGCACATCGGCTACAGTTTGGGTTGAACCGGGCTGAACTCGCGATGCATCGACTGCGTAGCGTCTTTGCATCGGTAAAAAACCGATTCATTCATATAAAATCCCCTCATCTTGTCAACGCTCAGCAGAGACGATCTTTGATATTTGCTTCGCCACTACGGAGGCCGAGAGTCTCAGTTATCAACACACACGGAAGTTGAGGGGAAAGAGAAACACAGCGCACCAAAAAATACCTTCAAATCAAACGTTTGGCAACACTTCGGATTGTTCAAGAAAGACGGTGTAATAGTCCTTTATGCTAGGCTATATAGTTGACCGCAGGTCATGGAGAGTAATAAGGTATCCGTAGACCTTTGTATGAGGTATCTTTATTACTTAACAGGTCTACAGCCATGATACATAGATCCGTCCTAGATGCGGGCTTGCATACACACAGTATCACTCCGCAGCCGCACCCCATCAGTAACGTCCTGATGGTATATGTGCGCGGCACTATATACTACAGACGCTCGCAAATTGTGAACGATGCCGAGCCGCTTTAAAGTACACAAGTAGTACGAGGAACTTAGCGACGCACATAAAGAGGCGACATGGGGTCTGCGGCTGAAAAGAGAAACCTCAAAGTTAGACATATGAGTTAAATCACTCAGTGAGGTGTTCTGTCAGAGAGAGTGGTGTTTAGTTTACAGCAGCCTGTGACGGCCAATAATAATGTAAATGTCTTCCTCACTGTAAGCAGTTATGAAATACCTGTTTGTGAAAGGTTATTTGTATTCTTTATTGTTCATATAGAACCCACTGCTTTCTGCTCACTGGTGAGTTAGCCTATGAATGAGTGTTCAGCACATCAGGCTGGCAGCTGTATGGGCATTGCACTATGGTAGCTGTTATTTGCACATTGTTAATCATGAGCAATGCATCCTTACATTGTTTAACTGTGAGGTGTTATAGAATTGTACTCTGGAAAGCTTTTAAAGGTAAAAAAATAAACGGCATGATGGGATGTGCAGTACCAAATATGTAAAGCACTTTTTTGTTAATGTATGATTTGCTGCATATAAGGAATAAAACAAAAATCCTCTGTCGTACCAAATTGAAGTATCATTATTTTTGCATCGTGTTGAATCGCATCGTATCGAATCGCATAATGTTGAATCAAATCGTATCGAACTGTATCGCAACAGGGGTGAATCGTATCGTATCGCATCGCCTGGTGTTTCAAATGTATCGTTAATGTATCGTATCGTGGCAACGTATCGAGATGCGCATCGCATCGGCCTCAGTGATGGAGATGCACATCCCTAATACTGACGCCTTGCCAAAAATTAAATCATAATTCTTACAAGCTGCAGATACAGCCGATTTTTCAATCATCCTAAATATCATGTTTCTGTTCGTTCCCAGCGGAGAAGAGCCCAAACCCCAGCCTGTTGACTCTGTGTGGCTCCCTGGCCCAGCTGGCCTGCGTGGAGCCCCCTCGGCTGCATTCCTGGCTGACACGTATGACTGCGACCCCCCCAAAGGACTCGGAGCAGATGGAAATAGTGCAAGAAAACAGACAGCTCCTGCAGGTGCTCACCACTCATATTGTGCGTGACAACAGCCAGGTGGGCGAAGGAGTGTGCACTGTCCTTCTCAGCACACTCATTCCCATGGCAACAGACATGCTCGCTAATGGTGATGGAACAGGCTTCCCTGAGCTCATGGTCATCATGGCAACCCTCGCCAGCGCGGGACAGGGGGCCGGTCACCTGCAGCTGCACAGGGCCGCTATCGACTGGCTGACCAGATGGTAAGGATCAAGTCTCACGAACATGCCGTTTCCTCATTTATTTAACATCAGGGAACTGCCCAATTGTTTCAACATCAGTGCGAGGATTCTCATATTTATAACCATGAAATGAAAAAGTACTTGGCATTGACTGCCCTAATAACTTAGCCATTATCAAGCAGTGATCAAATGTTAACTTTACTGATTTTAAAATGATCAACATTTTCTTCTTTTTCAGCAAAAAGTATTTAACACAGAAGAATGTTGTGGAAAAAGTGAGCACGAACTTATCCCAAGGAAAGGTACGTTTGAATGTTTCTCAGTATAATTCACAAGTCTATACAAGTCCCTTTTTTTGACTTATTTATTTTATTTACATATTTTAAACTCAGGCCTAACATGTTTCCAAACAGGGTTATTAGCCTTTAACCATTTACTGTCCAGAAACTGACGTGTTCCTGTTCCTTCATTCCAGCACGCCAGCATGCTGGAATGCTCGTGCCACATCATCTCTTACCTGGCTGATGTGATGAACGCCTTGCGGCAAAGCAGTGGCCAAGGCACCTCAGCAATGCTGATGGAGGGAGAAGAGAAGGCCATGGAGGTGGACTCGGACTGGGTGGAGGAACTTGCAGTAGAAGAGGATGATTCCCAGGCTGAGGACTCTGTATGATCTTATCCCTTTATGTCTCCCTTCATGTCTATCCTGTTGAAATAGGGCCATGTTGTAACGTGCAACAAAATAGAAAAGCCATATTATTATTATACATAAAGTCTGCTAAGTGATCTAGGGAATATACACACAATGCAAAATGTTAAACCTGGTGCAAACCATTTGCCCCAGAATGCTGTCATGTTCCTGCTGCGGTTGAACTGGTGCCTAGTATGTGTCCCAGTTGATCTAATGGCACTGTCCAGCAGAATGTAAACTAAACAACAAATGAACTAGAATAGGTTTTCACATTTTCTTTAACCAGATGCAAGGAATCCAGCTTGACCTAAATTGAAACAACACATGTTAACATGTGTGTCTTTGTTTGACAGGATGAAGACTCCCTTTGCAACAAACTCTGCACCTTCACCATTACTCAGAAGGAGTTCATGAACCAGCACTGGTAAAGAAACGTTTATTGCTACCTGTGATGTTTGTCTTATTCCTTGATGAGGCCAGACTTTCTTTAATCATGGTAAGGGGTTTTTAGAAGGTTATAGATGTATTGGTACAAACTGTAAGGCTGTTGCACCTTAACATAGATGTGCCTTGAACCCTACATAACTTGGATTAAATAGGGCTTTAAAGCATACTTAACATAGATTTATATCAATCCCAATAGTCGTTTTTATTGGTGAAGCTCCTTTATGTAGAAATATGCCGGCAGCACTAAAGCATCTACATTTTGTATGCACTATAAACAGCCTTGTGGTGCCTTTTTTATCCTGCAGGTACCACTGTCACACCTGTAAGATGGTGGATGGGGTAGGTGTGTGCACAGTGTGCGCCAAGGTCTGTCACAAAGACCATGAGATCTCCTATGCCAAATATGGCTCTTTCTTCTGTGACTGCGGTGCCAAAGAGGATGGCAGCTGCCAGGTGAGACCGAATACCTCAGGTCATCATGGGAAGAGAACAACAGCGGTAACTTGGCTTGCAAGTCATTCCCCCATTGACTTCCATCCCGTCATTTCATTTTGTCAGGGTTATAGCTAGCCCACACATGTGGCCAGAACAGGAGAAATCGTGTTGCAAATGTTTGTCCACCTTTTGTTAACTGAAAAGGCCAGCTAGTTATTCTTATGTAATGCATGTGATGATAAAACAAACCATCAACATCATTTTACCTTCAGTTTACTTTAGTTTGAAGTATTCTTTCTTTGTGTTAGTTCATTTGTTCTGTCAGTCTTGTGTTTACAGTACAATGGTTCAATACCATTAATAAGTTATCAGGATTCTTGTCAATCTATGATTTCTGGTTATCAGTTTAGATATAGTGTGTCTTGAACCAACAGAATATCTCTGCCTTCCTTTTGACTAACTATATACTCCACAATGTGGAGGAGCTAGCAAAGTGAAAAACAAAAGCAGGTTATTGTAATTGTAAGGAAGCTAAACAAAGATGATGTTTGCTGTCATATTAAGTTGTATAAGCATGCACATGTTACCAATGTTGCTGTTCTCACTGCTCTACTTTGTGTTATATCATCCACAGGCGCTGGTCAAGCGCAGCCCCAGCAGCGGCATGAGCTCCACCCTCAAAGAGTCTTCTGCGTTCCAGAGTGACCTGCGGATGCCTGACAGTGCGATCCGCCAACAGAACGCCTCACCCTCCGACAAAGGCAAGGTCACAATCTGTGACGGCAAACCTGGTGATGAAGACAGACCTAAGAAGAGCAGCGTGTGCAAGAGCATCGAGGGCTGCCAGGAAGAGCTAGTGACACAAGTGGTGAGAGAGAATGTGTTTATCTCTCTAAATGTATCAGTGTCTCTATCTGTTATACAAATAAGAGGACTGCACATTATTGCATTCCTGAAAGCAGTGATATTTAAACACATTTTTTAATTTACTGCACATTTTGTGGCTCAAGAAGTTGGCTCTCTTTCTCCACAACAGATGGGATCATCCACTGCAGCAGTCATACTAGAGATGCTCATGTTTCTCATGGAAGCCATCCAGACCAACTTCCAGCAGGCGTCAGCAGTGGGAAGCAGCAGCCGGGCTCAGCAGGCACTCAACGAACTGCACACTCAGGACAAAGCTGTGGAGATGACGGACCAGTTAATGGTAAGAAGCTGTACAGTTTGGAGGGGTTTAAGAAAAACACTTAATTCCTTAATTTTCGATTATTCCTGTAAATTGGAAACATCATTTATTGCATTTTTATTTTTAAATTGCTGCACTTTTCTTCAGGTGCCCACCCTCGGCTCTCAGGAAGGGGCTTTTGAGAATGTCAGGATGAACTACAGTGGTGACCAGGGACAAACAATACGCCAACTCATCAGTGCACACGTCCTGCGTCGTGTTGCCATGTGTGTCCTGTCTTCACCCCACGGCCGCCGCCAGCACCTGGCAGTCAGCCATGAGAAGGGAAAGGTAAGCTTCACAAACCAAACACATTTTATTTTACAATAATACTAATAATGAAGACAATTTAATTGAGATCTTGATTTGAAAACCACAGATTCTTTGTTTTTATGTTTTGTCCAGCAAATCAAGATTATTCAAAAATACTTTTAATCAAGTGAAAGTAGACATTGACCTATTATTTAGCATATAATGAATAAAAAACGTCTGTTTCTGTCAGCATAAAAGTGTCAATATATTTATCTTAATATATAAAGTAACATACAAAATAAATAATGGAACATTTATCACTACCCACTTCCAAGTGCTATTCTGTTTTTATCACCAGTCTGTTGTATTTGTCACCCATTAAAAGCATGTTCTCTCTTTACAGATAACGGTCCTGCAGCTGTCCACCCTCCTGAAACAGGCCGACTCCAGCAAGAGGAAGCTGACTCTGACCCGTCTGGCCTCTGCTCCAGTCCCATTCACCGTCCTCAGTCTCACAGGAAACCCTTGTAATGAGGATTACCTCGCTGTGTGCGGCCTCAAGGTCAGAAACGAGCTTCTTTATAACTTACCACTGTTCTATTGTGTGCCTTTCCTGCAAAAACAAAAAAGTGTATGAGAGAAGACCATTACCAAGTGATCCTAGATCATAATAGTATATGTATCAATGTAGTACATGTCTGAGGAGCTGTTATTATCAATGCAAATCTTAGAAAACAAGTAAGTCTTTTTAATATGAAATACTGCTATATTTGACTGTTCTGCCTTTGTCTCACATGTTTCCAAAGGACTGCCATGTACTCACGTTCAGCAGCACAGGCTCTGTGTCCGACCATCTGGTGTTGCACCCACAACTGGCGACTGGCAACTTCATCATCAAAGCTATTTGGTTACCAGGCTCTCAGACAGAACTTGCCATCATCACCGCAGACTTTGTCAAGGTACGTTTTAAAGAAAATAGACTGTTTTTTGTACCTTTTTTAGTTAAATGATTAAACTATAATTGGTAGTCTGATAATACTCAATTGAATCACAATGACACTTACAGGTGACTATGATTATTCTGCTCTTAAAAACACTTAATATTATTTGTCTCTTTCCATTTCTCTGCCTTGCCAAACAGATTTATGACTTATCAGCGGATGCCCTGAGTCCCATGTACTACTTCCTGCTCCCGAGCTCCAAGATCCGCGATGCTACCTTCCTGTTCAATGAAGAGGGGAAGAACATCATCGTCATCATGTCTTCAGCGGGTTACATGTACACCCAGCTCATGGACGAATCCAGCAGCGCCCAACATGGCCCTTTCTACGTCACCAATGTGTTGGAGATAAACCACGAAGACCTGAAGGTTAGCAGGATGTTGACTTGAGCAATTGAAATATATTGTACACAATGTTTGATTGTTTGTTGAAAGGGTTCACGCAACAGTGCACTGTATTACTTTTGGGAATGTTCCATTGTTTACATAAATCTTTCAAATCAGTTTTTGAAGTTCTTCGAAATAACATGAAGGTAATAACGAGATGTGTTTTTCTGTGTGACTCCAGGATAGCAACGGGCAGGTAGCCGGCGGTGGCGTGTCCACTTATTACTCCCACGTGCTTCAGATGCTTTTCTTCAGCTACAGCCAGGGAAAGTCCTTTGCTGCCACAGTGAGCCGCAGCACCTCCGAAGTGCAGAGGCTCTTCCCCATCAACGTCAAAGGGTAACACCTTCCACACTTAACACGCATTCTCAACCTCCCTGTTACTGCACTAGGTCTGGGATATGTTATCAGTACCTTGGTGAGATAACTACATCTCCTCTCTATCTTGCCCTCCTGCCTTCTTCAGCTCTAATGGCGGCAGCAGTAAGATCTCTCCTGCTCTGTGCCAGTGGTCTGAAGTCATGAACCACCCAGGACTGGTGTGCTGCGTGCAGCAGACTACAGGCATACCGCTTGTCATCATGATCAAGCCAGACACCTTCCTCATCCAAGAGATTAAAACTCTGCCAGCCAAAGCTAAGGTAAGAGCCACTTACTGTACTATTCAGCGACCTGTAGAGTGGAAAAAGGAACACCCATTTTTATAGAAAAATGTCCCTGTTGAAGTCTGAAATACTTATTTTTAAAAAGCTTTTTTTCTTATAAAAAATACTTTTTAAATACACTACATACTATGTCATAACAATTCATTCATTAAAGTTAACAGTACCTTTTAGTAAGTGGTTGCATTTCTCAAGTTTACATAAATAAATGTTCTCTCTTCCCCAGATTCAAGATATGGTCGCTATCCGCCACACTGCCAGTAATGAGCAGCAGCGTACGACCATGATTCTTCTCTGTGAGGACGGAAGCCTGCGGATCTACATGGCCAATGTGGACAACACCTCCTACTGGCTCCAGCCCTCGCTGCAGCCCAGCTGTGGCATCAGTATCATGAAGCCGGTCCGCAAGCGCAAAGCTGCTGCGACTAGTGAGTAGAAAGGGCAAATATATGATACACACATACACTCTGAGCATACAAGTGTGATCACCACCTTTGAACAATGGCTGGTTTTATGCTAAAATAACTGCTTAACCACAGTTGTCATTAAATCGTTAACTTACTCCACAACCTCAGATCAAGGATTTTGCCTACACAATTGTAATGTACAGAATTGCTTTCAGCTACCCGGACCTCCAGTCAGATGACCTTCCCTGTGGACTTCTTTGAACACAACCAGCAGCTGACAGAGGTGGAGTTTGGTGGCAATGACTTGCTGCAGGTCTACAACGGACAGCAGATCAAGCACAGGCTCAACTCCACTGGGATGTATGTGGCCAACACAAAGGTAGGCACATTTAATAAAATAATGCTGCCATGCATGCATCTATTTTATGCTACTTTAGATTACTTTTGGTAGTTTTAACTGTTAGACAAATTACTTTAACCAACAATGTCGCCATGTTTCTGTCTAGCCCGGGGGATTCACTGTGGAAGCGGTCAACAACAACAGTTCGATGGTGATGACGGGCATGCGGGTGCAGGTGGGCACTCAGGCCATCGAGAGGGCTCCATCCTATGTGGAGGTCTTTGGCCGCACCATGCAGATAAACCTGACCAGAGCCCGCTGGTTTGATGTCCCCTTCACCAGAGAGGAGGCCCTGCAGGCAGACAAGAAGCTGTCCATATTCAGTAAGTGTGCACACTTGCTCTCGGTACAGCACATCAGTTTATATCCATTTATGTGAAATACATGTTCATTGATAAAGGCTTTTTACCCAAAAGGACCATCCTTTCTCTCTGAGCTTGCAGAACGTTAAAAATAATTATCCTAAAGCATTTTATGCAATAGCTTCCCTCTAAGTAATATAATGAGTATACAAATAAAGGATATATATTTATCTCGGAGCTGTACCTCTATCTTGTTTGACACGTGAACTGCTGCAGACTCTTACAACCCATCTGCTAATGTACCTTAATCTTCCTGTTCTTCTGAAAGTTGGAGCATCGGTCGACCCGGCCGGAGTCACAATGCTCGATTCAATCAAGATCTACGGAAAAACCAAAGAGCAGTTCGGCTGGCCGGAGGATGCACCAGAGGACTTCTCCTCCGCCTCGGCTAACAACGTCTGCAGTCCCAACCTGAACCAGGGCAACGGCACCGCTGATGGGGACATCGCCACGCCGACCACCACCAGCGGCACTGTGCTGGAGAGGTATGAGCTTCACTTCAAGGTTTACACAGTCAACACAAGATGTTGCTGTTTACACTTCTCACTCCACTTTGAAATGCCCTAGTTTTAGTCACTTTTATCAAAACTATCTTGTATCTTTACTATTAGATATGACTTTGAATACGTCCTCTGGGTATTATTGCTTTATGATCATATTAGATGGTTATCTGATATAAGCTTGTATGTGATTAAGTTCATTATTCATTTATTTTTGTTGGATTAGCAAAAACATTCCAAACTGCTTCTCAATCTGTTTTCTGGAAAACTCCAAATGTATCCTAAGATGAATAAATGTTAGGATAAAAAATGATGTAGTAGATTGTACCTGTTTCTTCCACTAGCATATGGTTGTCCTCCAGGAGTCCAGCTCCGTAGTCTTAACACAGGGGTTGTTCTCTTAGGAGCATTTAGTGCATGGCTATAGTGATGTCATATTTTCTTGCATGCGTCTCGTTTGTTCAATGAATCATTTAATTCCACTTGTTCTTTCTGTGATCCTCACACTTTGTTTTTGTTCTTTTTCTTTTGCTCCCAAAAATACAATAAAAAGTTGTGAAACTGAGTCCTTATCGACCTTAGACCGGTTAGTAACTGCCCTTTCTCTGCTTGTTTGTATGGTGTGTGCATGTGTGCCAGTGTGTGTGTGCATGCCTGAGACTGTGAACATGCCATGCACCATCTTCTCACTTGTACAACTACACAAATATTTATTTTGCATTCAGTGTTTTAGCATTTAGATCAGCGCAGAATGCAACAGGCTGATATATTGTTTATTTAAGGCCATATCGCAGTAGGAGATGTGTTGATCCTTTTTTTTCATTTCAGGTTGGTGGTCAACTCCCTCGAGGCTTTGGAAAGCTGCTTTGCTGTAGGCTCCTCCAGTGAAAAGGTAAATGCTCTTTGTTTCCTTTCAAATAAAAAGCTTGACATCCTGGGGGTGTTGTTGACCATATGAATGTGACTCTGTGTAGGAGAAGAATAAGGCAGCAGCTCTCGAGTTGGCCACTCTACTCCTGTCCATGCCGACCCCTGCTGGTGTGCAGCAGCAAACTAAGGGACTTCTTGCCAGCCTGCACACCAGTAGAACTGCCTACCACAACCACAAGGTAATAAACACAGTCCCGTACACCAATTCAGAATCATAGCATTATCATTTTCCATTTGTTTGAGGAAATATGTATCAGTAATCTGATCAACCCAAAGAAAGAGCAAATCATTATTTTGTTCAAACTACTATCAGTAAAATACATAATAGACAGAGCTAGGTCATCATTTGTCAATAGTTAATCCAATGAATGTTATTTAGGAATCTGTTTCCTCATCGTCTACATCACAAATGCAACACGTATCTGCTCCCTCTTATCAGGATCAATCCTTGCTGAGTAACGCAGTGCAGTGTCTGAATGGCTGCAGCCGTGAGGGCAGGGAGCTCGACCCTGACGTCTTCCAGAGGCTCGTGATCACCGCCCGCTCCATTGCAATCATGAGACCCAACAACCTGGTGCATTTCACAGAAACAAAGCTCTTACACCATGAAGCTGGTAAGAGGTTCATCTGTTTGTGACAAGGCCACTGAAGCGTAATGTATGTGTTAAATGTTTCTATTTGTTGCACCATTACACTATTGCACTCAAGATGATGGAGAATGCTCTGCTGGTGAGACACTAAGTGGCTTCGGAGCTAAATTACCTAAACGTTTCATTTTCTGTTCTTCTGAACCTAGAAATGACAGAAGATGGGCAAAAACCAATGGATGGGGAAAACAGTAATTTCATCACACAGCTGATAAATAACTTCTGGAAGCTCCATTCCCAAAAGCCAAAGAACGCCTTTCTTGCTCCTGCCTGCCTGCCTGGTGAGTTCAGACCTTTGGGACCCCGACAAAGATATCAAGATCATCTTAATAAGGGATGTGATTGTGAAGATGAATGGTCAGCTCACGTTTAAATGTTACCTCGACACATGGCACATAATGTTTGCTTTTTTATATAAGTATCAATTAGATTTTTGGTAAAGTATTAGAAAATAAGTTTCTCAGTATGTGAACCTTTTTTCTTGTCTCTCTTTCTAAGGCCTGACTCATGTGGAAGCAACAGTAAATGCCTTGGTGGACATCATCCATGCATACTGCACATGTGAACTGGATTACATAAACGTTGCATCAAAAATCTACATGCAAATGCTTCTGTGCCCAGTAAGTATAGCTCTTAATTTCATAACAAGAATTATAAGAAATGTTTCATTCAAGGACCATTGAGTGTGAATCATGATATATCATTTACCAGCACAAACAAAAACATTTTAGGATCATTTACTGTTATTATTGCATTTGTTAATGCAAGGCTATTCAATGATATCATACACAGGATCTTGAGGAAACAGGAAATTACTTATCACCAGTTTTTTATCGCAATTTTATCAACTGACTTTTTGGGATTTAATCAAATTTCAGGACACATCTGTGAGCTTTGCATGTAAGCAGGCTCTGATCAGAGTGCTTCGACCGAGAAACAAACGGCGACATGTAACCCTTCCATCGCCCCCCACGCTCCAACACACCTATGGGTACGTTTTCACAGCCTTTTTTATGTAATGCTTTTATGCATATACCCTATCTGTTGTTGTCCAATGCTTGCAAGTGGATTCAGGAAACTTGATTTCCTTATTTCAGGAGACAAGGATGATGATGACGATGACGATGCGGACGACAAAATGCAGTCATCAGTGCTGACTGGAGGAGATGAGGGCAGACGGGAGAGTCAGGAGCAGAATGAAGTGGATCATGGCGACTTTGAGATGGTAGTGAGTAAATAGGGGCCACATGAGTCTGTGGGTTATATGTGACTCATGATTGTTAATTGGAGCCACATGTCAAGCAAGCCCCCTAACATACTTATTATTTTTCTACATCTTCAGTCGGAGTCCATGGTCCTGGAGACAGCAGATCATCTCAACAATGGAAATCCATCTCCTCTGGAAGCTCTGCTGGCTGGAGCCGAGGGTTTCCCGCCCATGCTGGATATTCCTCCTGATGCGGACGATGAAACTATGGTAGAGCTGGCCATCGCTCTCAGCCTTCAGCAGGAACAACAAGGTAAGCTGCCACACAATCAAACATCAATTATTAACTGAACCCGCCTGGGAGTCCCATATTGGGGACAGACAGAACTCAACTGTCCAGAAGCTAGAAATCATTAAGGCCTTATGAAAACAGGGAAACACTGAGCTGTGGATAGCAGTTGTTGGAGATAAAACTACCAACACAATGAACACATTTGTAGGTAAAAAGTTACCATTTTGATTTTCCTATAGCTGATTTCTGCTTGGCAAAGTGTAATATCTCACCCTTATACTTCAACCAGTCATAGCCTAATTAACCTAGTTTGAGCCATTGTCTAGCTCAAATGGTAGACCAACTATTTATTAGCTGAAGCATCACTTTTTGGTGAGTGCTTCTAACATATTTCTTCACGTTTTTAGGCAGTAGCAGTAGCGCCCTTGGCCTTCAGAGCCTTGGCTTGTCTGGCCAGGCCCCAAGCTCCTCTTCACTGGATGCTGGCACCCTTTCAGACACCACCGCATCAGGTAAAAAACAGCTATATGATCATATGTGATCAACGCCAAGCTTTCTATTTATATAGTGGCTAATAAATCCTTAACATCAGACATTAAACCAATTTCTCTTAGCTAGCATTTGAATTAAAGTTGCCAAAATGACCACATATGATATTCCAAAATCAAGCACATTACCAAATATTTGGCACATTGTGATGTCTTGATTGAGTATTTAAATAGTCATTATTAATATGATAATGCCCAAATGATGTTCAACTGGAAAAAGAAGCATGAATGGCACTTTCAATGTACTGCATGCTTTATTACATTGTTGCACATCTATAAACTGATATCATGTATCCTGGCCAGATTACTGCGGTGTGTTTACTGTTGCAGCCATTGCTATGATTTCAGCCCCGGCATCTGATGATGAGGGGAGCACTGCGGCCACTGATGGCTCCACGCTGAGGACGTCTCCGGCAGAGCATGGCGGCAGCGTGGGCTCAGAGAGCGGAGGCTCTGCAATTGACTCGGTGGCGGGGGAGCACAGCGGTGGGTGATGGCACAACAGACACACATATTTTCAATGCCAGCCTGATATTCAAAATGGTATACATGCATGTCTGAAATCAGAACATAAAGTATAAACCAAAAGGATATCAGTCTGTATAAGATTTTACATTTGACAAGATTTGACCTGTTTTACTTTAGTTTAAAGAGGTCAATTATAATGACATTCATCTGGTTAAAGGTGGGGTAGGTAAGTTTGAGAAACCGGCTCGAGATACACTTTTTGTTATATTCCATGGAATGCTCTTAACATCCCGATAGCAATGAATATCTGAAGTGCTCTGACAATAAATCCATAAGCAAATGTCATCGGTGGAAGCCGTAGTACTGTAAAAAGCACGACCAATCATTTTAGGCTAAAATAACTGGATGGCCTACCTGCCTGTCAGCCTTCCATCTGTGCACAAACTTATCTCGTGCCCTCATTGGTCATGTGCGCGTTCGTGTGTGTTGGAGGAGGGGCTCTGTAAGGAAGTGGCAGATTTTTTCCGGCTGTGTATTTTCAAATTCTAGCGCACTCGAGCTGGTTTCTCCAAAATGACCTACCCCACCTTTAAACTCCAACCTCTATCAACATTCTGAATACACTATTTTAAATGATCATACATGGTACAGTGTCCAACATTTCCTACCCTCACACCTCAATTTGACGTTTTGATAACTTGAAACTAAGGTGTGTGTGTGTGTCTGTGTACACAGTGTCAGGACGCAGTAGTGCATACGGGGACACAACAGTAGAGGGCCACCCTGCCGGTCCAGGCAGTGTGAGCTCCAGCACCGGAGCCATCAGCACCACCACAGCCCAGCAGGAGGGCGAAGGCTCAGAGGGAGAAGGAGAGACGGAAGGAGACATCCACACAAGCAACAGGTCAGACATCCTGATAGCTTAGCACAACTTATCATTTAAAAGGACGTCTCAAATTGACACCGTATCTCTCTACTATCCAAAGCCAATACCATGACCGCAGAAGAAAATAGATTTGGGAATATATTGGCTTTTAGGGTGGAATAGATTGTCATGAAAAATAACACATTAAGTTTAAAATAGTCTCCTCAGTTGTAAAGGAAACTAATGTTTTACTGTTTCTTCACAGGCTCCACATGGTTCGTCTTATGCTACTGGAGCGCTTGCTTCAGCATCTTTCTCAGCTCCACAACGTAGGTGGAGTCCAAGCCATCCCTTACATGCAGGTTATCCTCATGTTGACCTCTGACCTGGATGGTGAGGATGAAAAGGACAAGGGCGCCTTGGATGAGCTGCTAGCACAGCTCATTGCTGAGCTCTCCATGCACAAGAAGGTAAGTCTCCTTGTGATGAATCCTGTTTTCCATGTTGTCGTTGTTTTACTCAATCCATATTATTCCTCTGCAGGACGTTTCCAAGAAGAATGAGCGCAGTTCCATCAATGAAGTTCACCTGGTCATCATGAGGCTGCTCAGCGTCTTCATGTCTCGCACCAAGTCTGGCTCCAAATCCTCTTCTGAGGTACATCCTCTTTATTTTCTTAATGCAGGTTGGATTTTGCTCAAAGCCACCCGTTACATTTATCTTAGAATATAATAATATTAACAACATGTACATTTAAAAAATGTAGGAGGCACCATTTTGTTTTGTTAAAAAACGCAAGTAAGACATCATGGTTTGTTCGAAGCCACAAGTAAATGGAAGTATCCATAGAAGGTATTTGCATGACTCGAGCATCCTTTTCTATGTTACTAAATGTCTTCTTTTCTTTACAGCCTTTTTTACTGTCTCTTCAAAACTCAAACCATGTTGCTTGTACATTGTACTTCATAATGGATGCCTCCTCTTTCTCTCTTCCAGTCATCCTCGCTTATTTCGAACGCCACAGCGACAGCCTTGCTCAGCCTTGGGTCCATTGACTACTGTCTCCATGTGCTCAAATCGCTCCTGGACTTCTGGAAGAGCCAACAGGGCGAAGAAGAGCCTGCGACAACCAGCCAGCTCCTCCGCCCACACACAGCCTCCTCTCCCCCCGACATGAGCCCTTTCTTCCTGCGCCAATACGTCAAGGTAACAGATTGTTACATTTGAACAAGTGATGGGTTTTGTACAAGGAATGTTCATTTAAACTTGTTATGTTGCTCCTCCCATTAGGGACATGCGGCTGATGTGTTTGAAGCTTACTCCCAGCTATTGACTGAAATGGTGCTCCGGCTGCCATATCAGATCAAGAAGATTGCTGACACCAACCCACGCATCCCACCTCCTGTCTTTGACCATTCCTGGTTTTACTATCTGTCGGAAGTAAGCCATTGAGTGAAAATGACTTGTGTGCTTTTCCTTTTCAACCTCTGTCTTCACTTCAGACACAGATACAGCCTCTAACCCCGTCTCCCTTTTCCCTTTCAGTATCTGATGATTCAACAGACACCATTCGTCAGGAGGCAAGTCAGAAAGCTGCTGTTGTTTATCTGCGGCTCAAAGGAAAAATACCGCCAGCTGAGGGATCTGCACACTCTTGACTCCCATGTGCGCAGCATCAAGAAGCTCCTGGAGGAGCAGGGCATCTTCCTCCGTGCTGGTGTGGTCACAGCCACTTCTGGCTCAGCTCTGCAGTACGACACACTCATCAATCTGGTAAGTGAATCACACATTTTATTAAGATACCTCAAAAAGAGCTTCTTTGTATAATTCATATTACATTTGTGTGTAGCTTTCTGTGTTTAAGTTGAACTCTCCTTTCTTGGTGCAGATGGAACATCTGAAAGCTTGTGCTGAAATTGCCACTCAGAGGACGATCAACTGGCAGAAGTTCTGCATGAAGGACGACTGTAAGTGTTTTCAGATCAGCTTTTGTGACTAACAACTTTTAAGGGCAGTGGTTTTAATGAGTTGTTTCTCTTCCCTCCTTTTGTTGCCTTTTCTTTTCTGTCCAGCTGTGTTGTACTTCCTGCTTCAAGTCAGCTTCCTAGTGGATGAGGGAGTGTCCCCTGTTCTTTTGCAACTGCTCTCCTGTGCCCTGTGTGGCAGTAAGGTGCTGGCCAGCTCCTCCTCCTCCTCATCTTCATCATTCTCAGGAGGAGGCTCCAGTAGTGCTGGACAGGCAGGAACGTCTCAGTCCTCTCAAAGCAAGTCCTCCAGTAAAAAGAGCAAAAAAGAGGACAAGGAGAAAGACAAAGAGGGTAAGACACGTTCACAGACTTCCTCATATTTCATTCCAGGTGCATTATGCTCAATCCCCCCAACGGTTCTGTCTTTTTCTTGACTGTTCTCTTTTGGACTGTCCACAGGTGAGGGGGTTGGCAGCCAGGAGGATCAGCTGTGCATGGCTCTGGTCAGTCAGCTTAACAAGTTTGCAGACAAGGAGACACTGATCCAGTTCTTGCGCTGCTTCCTGCTGGAGTCAAACTCCTCTGCTGTGCGCTGGCAAGCTCACTGCCTGGCTCTTCATATCTACAGGTACTTTACATCTAAATGATTGAGGCATAGACTAACAGCTAGGTTTAGTCCCAAGCTTAAGCAAACCTAGTTTACACAAGACAGCCTCTTTATTAGCTTTCCTTTACATTTAGACTGTCTTGACCTGTTTCTAGACTATTGTGATTAAACATTAGTTCCCATGAACATACTATCGAAAGATGTAAGCTTAAATCATTTGTAAATGGTGACATAACATCCTTGATATGTGAATCTCTCTATAGGAACTCCAGTAAATCTCAGCAGGACCTGCTGCTCGAACTGACCTGGGCCATCTGGCCTGAGCTGCCTGCATATGGCCGCAAAGCTGCTCAGTTTGTTGACCTGCTTGGATACTTCTCACTGAAAACCCCACAGACGGAGAAGAAGGTTTGTCAGAAGGCCTCCTACTCGTTTTTTGTACAGATAGTATAAAATGAGTTATTTGTGAGCCTTGTATCGCTGTCTGGTCTTTACCCATTGTTCACAATAATTGTTTTCTACTTGCGCAATAAATAGTTTGCAGACTGTATCCATATTGCTTAACACTTCTTATCCTATCTGTGTAAACCTTTTTGACATTTGGCAAAAAAAAGGCTATGGCAATAATAAAGCTTCAAAGTTTATAAAATATATATACATGTTCTTCCCCAGCTGAAAGAGTATTCCCAAAAAGCTGTGGAAATCCTGAGGGCACAGAACCATATCCTGACGAATCACCCTAACTCCAACATCTACACGTATGTCTTCATGAACATGCTATCTTGTTGCAAGGAAAATAAAGTTTAAGTAGTGGACGTCGCACACAAACCAACGTATTGACTTGATGTTTTTCTCCTGCAGCACTCTGTCCGGTTTAGTGGAGTTTGATGGGTTCTTTCTGGAGAGCGACCCCTGCTTGGTGTGCAACAATCCAGAAGTTCCATTCTCAGTATGTGCAACACAACTTCACTCAATGGACACAATCTCTAGCATAAACTAGTTTAGCAAATATGATCCAAGTGCTTGCTTCTACACACTTAAAAGTGTGCGCGCTCTAAAGTTAATTTAAACCTAAACAGTCTATTATTGTTTTAAACATTCCCTTGTTTATTCTGTGTTTCCTCCAGAATATAAAGCTGTCATCGATCAAAGTGGACACCCGCTACACCACCACACAGCAGGTTGTCAAGCTCATTGGCAGCCACACCATCAGCAAAGTCACCGTGAAGATTGGTGACCTGAAACGCACTAAGATGGTCCGCACCATCAACCTCTACTACAACAACAGAACGGTCCAGGCTATCGTGGAGCTGAAAAACAAGTACGTTTCAAAAAAGATCTGCCGGCCTTTCCTCCCCTCATTTATTTTTCACTCATGTGTTCATAACAGTTATTTAAAAGTGAAGTTCTAAAATACAAAGAATACGTATTGGTCACAGTTTCACTTTGATTCAATTGCTTGTATGAAGTAAGGTCTCTTAACTTCACTGTCTGTTTGTAGACCTGCTCGTTGGCACAAAGCCAAGAAAGTCCAGCTGACCCCAGGACAAACGGAGGTGAAGATCGACCTTCCTTTACCCATCGTCGCATCCAACCTGATGATCGAGTTCTCTGATTTTTACGAGAACTACCAGGCCTCCACCGAGACCCTGCAGTGTCCACGCTGCAGCGCCTCTGTGCCGGCCAACCCTGGGGTCTGTGGCAACTGCGGTGAGAACGTGTATCAGTGCCACAAGTGCAGGTGAGCAGCAGGGCTCCTCCGCATGTCTGAAAGGATTTGGGAAAGTGTGGAATTATTGGAAATATTGAAGATGAGTTGTATTTTAAATTGGTGTTTTTTGTCTTTAAGGTCTATCAACTACGATGAAAAAGACCCCTTCCTGTGCAATGCCTGTGGCTTCTGCAAATATGCCAGATTTGACTTCATGCTATATGCTAGACCATGCTGTGCTGTGGATCCCATTGAGAATGAGGAAGACAGGAAAAAGGTAAGCATACTCGTGTGAAATAGAAAGGACTCAACAAAAGGGTTGCCATTCTATCAAATCATCTTGTTTGATCAAATATACTCTCTTCTCTTAGTTTGCTGAGGAAAGCAGATCTGCATCACTTCTTCACTCTGCCTCATGTCATCTTTAATGTGTCCTTTTCCTACAGGCTGTGACCAACATCAACACCCTGCTGGACAAAGCTGACCGGGTCTACCACCAGCTGATGGGCCACCGGCCCCAGTTGGAGAGCCTCCTGTCTAAAGTCAACGAGGCGGCACCAGAAAAACCGCAGGTAAGTCACAAGAGGGGCCTGAACAGTACTCATTTAGTCCAATACCAGTCCAATGTTTGATGATAATTAGATCTTTGAATAATAAAAAGAAGACCTCTTTGTCTACTGATATATCATAGCACGGTTATTGTTGAGATTAGACTTTCCCAAATACAATTCAGGAGATATGAATCTTTGAAAGCCTTCGGTTCCAGTAGAACAACAGTATTTCATGGCCTTTTTCTACATCTGTTTCAGAGAACTGCCAAAGATATGACTTTAGGTCAATATAGTAGAAACAGTGTTTTTGTAGACTTTCCAAAGCTTTATCTGATGTTTTTCCCCCCTGCATTGCCCTCAGGACGACAGTGGAGCCGGTGCAGGACTTGGTACGTCCTCTGCTAATGTGAACAGATACATTCAGCAGCTGGCTCAAGAGTACAGCGGAGACTGCAAGACGTCATTTGATGAACTCTCCAAGATTATACAGGTAAGATAGAGAGGAAAAACGGTTTCCTATTTATCTAGCAAGAAACAGTTTTCCCCCTGCTCACCTATAACTCTTGCCTCTGTCTCTGTTTACAGAAAGTGCTTGCCTCTCGTAAAGAGCTCCTGGAGTATGATCTGCAGCAGAGAGAAGCTGCCACCAAGTCGTCCCGCAGCAGCAGCAGCCACCAGCCCACCATCACCGCCAGTCAGTACCGGGCCAACTCCGTGCTGGGCTGCGGCCACACCTCTTCAAACAAGTGCTATGGCTGTGCCTCAGCTGTCACGGGTCACTGTATCACACTGCTTCGTGCTCTGGCCACCAACCCGGCCCTCCGGCAGATCCTGGTCCTCCAGGGTCTCATCCGTGAACTGTTTGAGTATAACCTGCGGCGAGGTACAGCTGCCATGAGGGAGGAGGTGCGGCAGTTGGTCTGTCTCCTCACCAGGTATGTCCCTTCCTCACCTATTGGTTTATTAGGGTTGAATACAAGTTGAAACATTTGCATAACTTTTACCTAGTAGCTGAACGTGGTACTCAAGATTGGGTGATGGTTATGGTACCCATCAGCATGTGGAAGAACACCGCAGATTCACTCTTGGTTTGAAAGTAGCTTTGTCTGCACTGCGTTTGTATGTAAACAGTGTATTGCAGTGATGATTCAACATCACTCTTCTATATTGTCCTGCTTTAGAGATCATCCAGAGGCCACCCAACAGATGAATGACCTCATTATCGCCAAGGTGTCCGCTGCTCTCAAAGGCCACTGGGCCAATCCTGACTTGGTATGTCTCACTTGGAGTTACATTTTATAATTAAAATACTTTCTTTTGGTAACGTTTTACCAATGATCATTTTTTGTTTCCAACAGGTTAGTAATTTGCAGTATGAAATGCTGCTGCTCACAGACTCTATTTCTAAAGAGGGAGGATGCTGGGAGCTACGGTTACGTTGTGGTAAGCCTTTTCTTTTCACTTAGCTATCATAAATCTTAATTCTGTTATCAAAGTAATTTTGTCTGGTTGCCTTTTCGGTCTTTGTCTAACAACATCGTGTTTTTGTTCTCCTTGTAGCCCTCAGTCTGTTCTTGATGTCGGTGAATATAAAGACGCCTGTAGTGGTGGAGAACATCACTCTCATGTGCCTGAGAATCCTGCAGAAGCTGATCAAGCCCCCGGCTGCCACTAGCAAGAAGAACAAGGTACATGTGCCATAACTCTGCCATTCAGCTACTGCTCACTCATAGCTCTGCAGTGCTAGCTTGAAGGACTTTGGACCAGTTAGTGATTTAAAACATGGAAATACCAGTCTATTATTAAAAATATATATATATATTATTATTTTCTTTTTTAAATACAGCAGTCTAAAAAATTGTAAAAGTTTGTATGTGGTGTGAGTGAGTGACCACTTGGTTGTTTCATGTTTCCTTACACAACACTATGTTTGCTTTTGGTTATAGGATGCTGCTATTGAGTCTCTAACCACGGTCAGGCCCTACAGTAATGAAATCCACGCCCAGGCCCAACTCTGGCTCAAGAAGGACCCCAAAGCATCTTATGAAGCCTGGAAGAAGTGTCTCCCAGCAAGATGTAAGTGCCATGTCTGAACTAATATAGCCGTGTAAAAGGATGGTTCTCTTATAGTTTTTCCTTAATAAATCAAACGTCACGATGATAAGCTGATTACTGTTGATTTGACTTGATAACACAGGCCAGGAAAATGTGTCGAAGCCTCAGGGAAAGACTGAGCTGCGCAGGCAGTACCTGTTGGAGAAGTATGTTTGGAAGTGGAAGCAGTTCATGAGGTCCAAAAAAGGTGAAGGCCTCTTCCCTCGCCTACTCAAACTGAGCCACAACAACTGGCTGCGACAGGTAATACAAACTAAAGTTTGACAGTCCTGTTTCAAGAAACACTAGAGTTCTGCTTGTTCTTATTCGTGTCAAAAGTGCCCGTGTATATATTTTCTTCAGGAATCAAATGAGCCAGAAATCTGTTTTTTAAAATGATATATATATATATATATATATATCTTCATATTTTACAAACATGTTAAAACATCTTGTTCAAATACAATTGTTTTACTCAAGTTTTGTTTGTTGCAGGTCCTTTTCACACCTGCCACTCAGGCAGCCAGGCAGGCAGCCTGCACCATTGTGGAGGCCTTAACCACGATCCCCAGCCGCAAGCAGCAGGTGCTGGACCTTCTCACCAGGTAGGAGCCTCCAACTAAACAACAGCCAGTAAAACAAACCTCTCAATGTGCAGAATCCAGAAAATGCATTAACTGTTATTCGATTACTCTTAAGATTTCCTTATCATTGAAAGTCTTTCTATTCAGTATGATTGTGATGGAAACATTTCACAGAAATTGCTATGCTATTATCAGGAAGAGAACTTGCTTCTGAGCCTTATGAAAAGCTTTCAGCATGAAAATGGTGTAGAGCGTCAACGTTTTGCCCTGACTGTAAAGTGACTCTTTCTGTGTGTTTGTGTCAGTTACCTGGATGAGCTGAGTGTAGCTGGAGAGTGTGCGGTGGAGTACCTGGGTCTGTACCAGAAGCTGATCAAGCCGACACACTGGAAGGTTTACCTGGCAGCCCGCGGGGTCCTGCCCTACATCGGTAACCTGATCACCAAGGTAATGGCCTGAAAGTTCAAGAGATGATGAACTCAGCGTTTTGCATAAGTGCCACTGGCTTCCATCAGTTTCATTGTTGTATTGCAAGGAAATGTATTACAAATGAGATCTTTCATTTTAAGAACATAACATTCATTCTGTTGCTTTAGTTACCCCTATATTCAGAAAATCTAGCAAAGAACACTGGACCTTATAACTGTATTTATTCTGTTTGCAGGAAATCGCCAACCTGCTGGCTCTGGAGGAGGCCACACTGAGCACAGACCTGCAGCAAGGCTACGCCCTCAAGAGCTTGACTGGTATGTTCAATTTGACATGACAATGTATTTTGTGGTTTAGATGACCATTTAGATATTTTTTTATTTGAGCTGGAGTTTCTTGAATGTTTTGTTGACCTTTTTTTAATAGTTAAATGATTTGTATGTGTTTGGTGCCACTGCAGGGTTGCTCTCTTCTTTCGTGGAAGTGGAGTCCATCAAGCGGCATTTCAAAAGCCGGCTGGTCGGCACGGTGTTGAACGGCTACCTGTGTCTGAGGAAACTGGTGGTGCAGCGCACGAAGCTCATCGACGAGACTCAGGACATGCTGCTGGAGATGCTGGAGGACATGACAACAGGTCTGCACTGACTCCAGTTCAACACACCTATTTCTTTAACCATCGTTTGGGTTCTGCTGCATGGTTTGCTGCTTTTAGTGATTATTTGTTTCGATTCTAACATAACAAATTAAATAAATCCAATCCAAGTATTTCATTGCTGCTAAGGTAAAGCATGAATTATAAATCTGTTTTTTAACGATTGATTAGTTTCGTATCATGTACGTTTTTAAAAACATGAACATAATGCATCTGGTTGTGTGTTCCTAGGTACCGAGTCTGAAACAAAGGCATTCATGGCAGTGTGCATAGAGACTGCAAAGCGGTACAACCTGGATGACTACAGGACGCCTGTCTTCATTTTTGAGCGACTGTGTAGCATCATCTATCCTGTAAGTTAACTCTAGTCTACTATGTTGCATTTGTAATGCACATTTCATACAGAAAGAAAGAATGTTTTAATGTTCAGTGTTGCTGTATCTTCGTCTCAAGCTTCTGTTTGTTCCTTTGTGTTTAGGAGGAGAATGAGGTGACCGAGTTCTTTGTGACCCTGGAAAAAGATCCTCAGCAGGAGGACTTCCTGCAGGGCCGCATGCCAGGAAACCCCTACAGCAGCAACGAGCCTGGCATCGGCCCCCTGATGAGGGACATCAAGAACAAAATCTGCCAGGACTGCGACCTGGTGGCGCTTCTTGAAGACGACAGTGGCATGGAGGTAAAATGTGTATTTTAGGCTGCTCTAAAAAAAACAGTCTTCCTAGTTTTAATATGAGCGTTTTTATCAAACTCTTAACTGTTTGTTACTGAATTCTAAAAGCTGACCTGTTGTTTCCTGTCCCCACAGCTTCTGGTAAACAACAAAATCATTAGCTTGGATCTGTCCGTTGCAGAAGTCTACAAGAAGGTCTGGTGCCCTACAAATGAGGTAAAGAATTGGTCATTTTTAGGATTATTTTGCACATTGTCATTAAATGCTTGCAGTACTCTGGATAGTAATGCAATTCCTACTCCCCCCCCCCCCCTCCAGGGTGAGCCAATGAGGATCATCTATCGAATGAGAGGTCTGCTGGGAGATGCCACTGAGGAGTTCATAGAGTCACTGGACTCGACCACAGGTTAGATTTACACTGTATAATAGTCTAAATACCACATGTATTAATGCTGTTAACCTATGAGTAAGCCATTAGCCACAGGAACATGCTCTTTGCCATCACAAGTACTCCATACCTACTTCATAATGATGTAACAGATGTATGTGAAATCTCTTAACCTAGTTGAGTACAAAAATGGTTTACCTGGCCTTATTACAGATGAAGAGGAGGATGATGAAGAGGTGTACAAGATGGCAGGAGTGATGGCACAGTGTGGAGGACTGGAGTGTATGCTCAACCGGCTGTCTGGAATCAAAGATTTCAAACAAGGACGGCATCTGCTCACCGTAAGCATACATGAAAAATAATTAGAGTTTGATGAGATTCCTCATCCCTCGTGCAGTTTTCATAAATACCAACAGCGCAGCAGCTTTGTGACAACATGTGTTTCCTTCACAGGTTTTGCTGAAGTTGTTCAGTTACTGTGGGAAGGTGAAGATCAACAGGCAGCAGCTGGTCAAACCAGAGATGAACACACTCAACGTCATGCTGGGAACTCTGAACCTGGTGAGCGTTCACTGACTGTAACATTGTGTTGCTTGTTTCATCCATTACATACAAATTGTGCAATTTTAACCAGGCTTTTATAATGCGGTTTAAGAAACTTTAAGTTTGAATGTCCTTTATCCTATCAGGCTTTAGTGGCAGAACAGGAGAGTAAGGACAGTGGTGGAGCCTCCATAGCAGAGCAAGTTCTGAGCATCATGGAAATCATTCTGGACGAAGCCAATGCTGAGATTTCAGAGGACAAGGTAAGACTCTACAGCAGATTCATCTTTGGAGCTAACATTTGAGGCCATCAATATATCAAAGCCTGTACAAATGTATGCTTGTCCTTCTAACGGGAAGTATTTGTTCTTCTGCAGGGTAACCTCCTGCTGACAGGAGACAAGGATCAGCTGGTCATGTTGTTGGATCAGATCAACACCCTGTTCGTGCGCTCAAACCCCAGCGTGCTGCAGGGTCTGCTGCGCATCATCCCATACCTGTCCTTCGGAGAGCTGGAGAAGATGAGGATCCTGGTGGAGCGCTTCAAACCGTGTTGCAGCTTTGACAAGTGGGCACTACTTCACTTTATCTCAATTTTAATAATGGATAATGTTTAGGTCTTAATGGATAGAAAAAACACTTGTTACAAAGATGTGTTGCATATCAAACCAGGATGATTTCAGACAGATGTTGTGTTAATCTGAGTGTTTGGGTATTACTGCTTAGCCGCTTTCACACCAAGTACTTTGCCGTACTTAGTACCCAGCACTTAGTACTAGGGATGTCCCGATCTCATTTTTTAGCTTCCGATTCGATTCCGATATTTTCATATAGGTTCCGATCCGATCCCGATATTTCCTGATACCGGTTTTCCGATACCGATTTCCGATATCCCTTGTTGTGTTGGCAAACAGCATTTAATTTCGTATACATTAAGAAATAGACAGGCACCCAAATAATTTATTAGACGACAAAAACCGGAGTTTTCCACAAGTGAAATTGGCTGGTCGTCCCCTGCTATGCACTCCACAATCAGCTCAGTAATCTTGCGAAATCTCTCGGAGTCTCGAGGAAGTAAAGCCTTTCGTTTCAAGCTGTCCCGCAGTGTTTGTTGATGGAGTCCATCAGTCGCAGACGCTGTCGCTTTACAGTAGGCGGCGTGTTCGTCGGGGTGGTGCTTTTTAAGATGTTTTATTAGGTTTGTGGTGTTGTAGGAGACCCTGTTAGCACCACCTCGTGAGACTTCCACACCAGACTTTGCATGTCGCAGTCGGCGACTCACTTGTAGTTATTTTAAAATGATGCCAAACTGCAGACATTTTAACTAGCTAACGATATGTGTCCGTTCCACTTTTCCAACTCGATAATGGCGGCTGATGCAATAGAACAACAACGACAAACAACGTAACAACGTAACAATGGAGTCATGGGAAATATTAACTATGGATCAGCCATGACATTTAATTGGATCTGCCGATCCCGATCCACCTTAAAACCCAGTATCGGGGGCCGATCCGATCCGGGGATCGGGACATCTCTACTTTTAGTACCCAGCACTTAGTTCCCCCTTGGAACTAAGTGCCGATCGCGTTCACACCGGAATAAGTCCCTGAGGGAGGATTACGCAAATGAAGCCGCTCACTTCGTCTTCTTCTGCTTTGGGTTTACTGGCAGGTCCCAAACAACTTCACGGCGTATACTGCCACCCGACGTCCCCGGCCGGAAGTCCCCGACTCCGGGGACTTCCGGTTGACATCGTTGCTTCTGAGTAAATCACCAGAACACCGACACCTCCTCATCACTCCACCGCTCCAATGTTTTTTTGTGTGTTGCCATAAGTTAGTCTCTCTCCGTTGGTGCACTGGGCTAATGCTAATGCTAATAATGCTAATGCCAGCAAATACAATGGCGGCTTCACAAAACTTTTCAGAGTTTTACGTAGTGTGGTTTGCAATCCGCCCAGCCAATCAGAAATGGGAACCTTTTCAAAAAGTTCTCATGAACTAAGTTCTCTTTTTGGTGTGAACGCAAAATCCCAGTAACTATTGGAACTAAAAGGGAAAAGTACTCCGGTGTGAAAGCGCCTCTTGATGAAGTAGTACTGACCCCTGGCTTTTATATCCTAAGGTACGACGAGGAGCATAGTGCAGATGACAAGGTGTTTTTGGACTGCTTCTGCAAAATCGCTGCTGGGATCAAGAATAACAGCAACGGCCATCAGCTGAAAGATCTTATCCTCCAGAAGGGAATCACACAGAGTGCACTGGACTACATGAAGAAACATATCCCCAATGCCAAAAAGTAGGTCTCCTCACCTTCACCTCATCGTTAGCTTAACTTAGAGTCCATCAATGCCTTTGATGAAATGATAGATCTGTTCTTGTTTGTCTTGCTCTGCACTCTCTTCAGTCTGGATGCAGATGTCTGGAAGAAGTTCCTCTCCAGACCAGCTCTACCCTTCATTCTCAGATTGCTCCGGGGTTTGGCTACCCAGCACCCCCCCACACAGGTACTAACTGTTGTTGATGTTTCTGTGTATGGTGGAGTTACTACAAGATAAACCATGTAAACCCATTTGACCCGGCTCTACACAACAGCATTAACACATTTTGGGTCTATTTGAATGAATGTCTTCTTATCTTCTGTTCAGGCGCTGATAGGCACAGATTCAATAACCAACTTGCACAAGCTGGAGCAGGTTTCCAGTGACGAAGGCATTGGCACGCTGGCAGAGAACCTTCTGGAGGCCCTGAGGGAGCACAGCGATGTCAACCTGAAGATTGATGCAGCCCGCAGGGAGACCCGATCTGAAAAGAAGCGCATGGCTATGGCCATGAGACAGAAGGCCCTGGGAACCCTGGGAATGACGGTACTTGTTTCCTTTTTTCACTCATTTCCCCCTATTTTTCTCTAATACATTTATTCTCCACTTTATTTAAAAGCAGTTTGTTGTTATCTCTACAGTTGTCACTAAACGGTGTGGTTGATTTGCCTTTCAGACCAATGAGAAGGGTCAGGTGGTGACTAAGACCTCGCTGCTGAAGCAGATGGAGGAGCTGATCGAGGAGCCGGGCCTGACCTGCTGCATCTGCAGAGAGGGTTACAAGTTCCAGGTATACGTCTAGCATCAGGAGACTGATTTGTGTCTGCACTACGTAGGACTTCCTGTACCCTGACTCACCTTGTAGTGTTTTATATTAATGTTTCTCTCTTTGTCTCTTTTTTCCCAGCCAACCAAAGTCCTAGGCATTTACACTTTCACAAAGCGTGTGGCCTTGGAGGACTTTGAAAACAAGCCTCGGAAGCAGCAGGGCTACAGCACTGTGTCGCACTTTAACATAGTCCACTATGACTGCCATCTGGCAGCTGTCAGGTAGCAACAGACACCGTTATGAACCTGCCAAAGTGTTAAATGCCCTTTTTAAATGTTCTGGGGAAACCTGCCTTTCCTTTCATTCTAATTTGATGTTTTTATTGTTCTTTTCCTCTGGGGCAGGCTGGCTCGTGGGCGAGAGGAGTGGGAGAGTGCTGCCCTCCAGAACGCCAACACCAAGTGCAATGGGCTGCTTCCTGTGTGGGGGCCACATGTGCCAGAGTCAGCCTTCGCTACATGCTTAGCCAGGTAAGGTCATGCATCAGCGCACACACAGTAAAACGTATGTGTTGCCCAGAGAAACCCATTCTGACTTGTTTCTCTCTGTTGCACAGACACAACACATATCTGCAGGAGTGCACGGGCCAGCGGGAGCCAACCTACCAACTGAACATCCACGACACCAAATTGCTGTTCCACCGCTTTGCTACCGAACAGTCGTTCAGCGTGGACACGGGAGGAGGAGGACGAGAGAGCAACATCCACCTCATCCCCTACATCATCCACACGGTGCTCTACGTCCTCAACACGTATGTTTCTGACTCCTCTGTCCCAACGCCCAACTGCTGGACACACAAACTATATTTGTAGTTTATGTGTTTCACTTATCTCCTTTCTCATCTCACTCGGTCCCTGCAGTACAAGGGCTACATCCCGGGAGGACAAGAACCTGCAGAGTTTCCAGGAGCAGCCGTGTGAGAAGTGGGTGGAGAGCTCCTACGATGTTGAGGGTCCGCACTATTTCACCATCCTGGCCATGCACATCATGCCGCCTGAACGCTGGAGGAATTCACGTTTATACTTCCTACGGAGGCTCCTGGTCAACGCACATGTCCGCAAGGTCTCGGCAGTCTGCACCAACAAGTACGACTCTTCGTTTTATTCACGTTTCTTTATTCGCCTGTCCATAATCTTTTCATAGTGCGCAGGATTACCAACTGCAATAATGAGAACTGTCTTTTTGTATTGCTGTGTACTGTAGTTATGATTTTAATTTCAATTAAAAATGTTTACATTTGTTTGAATGCTTTTCTTTTTGAATGTCAGACTCACAGATAAATCACCAAAGGAATATGCAGTGTATCGCTCGCCTCTTCTCTTCTGGGCCCTGGTGGATCTTGTCTACGACATGTTCAGGGTAATATAAATGCGTTGCACTTTCAAAACTACAAGCATTATCCAAATAATAATCTGCCATGTTATGGTTTTGGTCGGGATGCTTTGCTCGATTGGTGCTCTGATGTTGGTCACGTAGTAACGGATAGTAACAGCTAACTTTAATGTTGACACGAAACCTTTGAAGTTAGTCAAGACCTTTTTTCTTCAATCAGTCCTACTGGGATTATATATGATAACTCCTTTATTTCCACTGTAGACTTGACCTGCAGTGATTCCTCTCCCTGGCCTTCACTTCATTTCTTTGTCTCCTCTTTGGCTTACAGAAAGTTCCCACCAGTAACACAGAGGGGGGCTGGTCCTTCTCGCTGGCAGAGTATGTCCGTCACAACGACATGCCCATCTACGAGGCCTCGGAGCGAGTGCTGAGGGCCTTCCAGGACGAACTCATGCCCGCTGAGTCCTTGTCAGAGTTCTGTGATGTTGTAGGTCAGTATACAAACACACCTGATAACTAAACAACTGCCTTCATCAACATTTAAAGCTTCAGAGATGATTCTGTCCATTACTCTCCTGGGATGGTCTCTGATTGGACAGCATAAGAATGTTTTGTGGTTCTGGATCAAAATCCCAAACAATTATCTTCAAAAGTGAATAATGGAGCCGATTGTTTTTTTACATATGAATGATCCTGTTGGAAAGGAAAGACTATCACTATGTTGATATATATTTATTTTACCTTTTATTCTGGATTACTTTATTCACCATAGTTTTTTTATTCTCTTGGAGGAATGTTTAAAAAAAAAGTTGCATATCCTAGATTTGATCAAACAAATGTGTTCCTTCACATAATGTATGGTAAAGTATTTTAAGTTACATTTTGTTATTTATTTATTATTATTTAGTGAATGTCATTACGAAAGGTCCTTCTCTCCTCCAGGTCTTCTCTCTGAAATCCCAGACCCGGACCTCTTCCTGCAGGATTTGTTGAACTCTTTGCCCTGAAGGCCAACCTCAACCCACGCCCCTCCAAAACAACCCTGCAAATAAAGTTGGAACACCTACCAACTGAAAAAAAAAAGATGTTCTCTTTTGCTGAGGACACACACAGAGTACACACTTTCCCTCCTACTCACCTTTCCCTCCCCCATAAGACATCTTCAAATTCACTTTAAGCAGAAACTATGTGTAGTCTAAGAATCATCCACTTTGAAACATCTCTGTAACGTTTAACACACAAACACAATGCTATTAAAGGGTAGGGGGAACACACTTAAACAGAATTGACGCGTTCCCCCTCTGATTCAGAATGCTAAGGTAACAATTATGAAAAGGTTGAAACAAGAGATCGGGGGACGCTTTCCATTAACGTTATTGCAAATCACTTGTGAATTCTGTTTTAGGGTGGACATTATTTTGGCTTTCAAACCCCTCCCCCTCCTCCCCTAATGTTTGGGTGCATTGTTAAGGTAACTAAAAGGAGTTTGGGATTCGACCCACCACGTGTTAAGAGTTGCATTTGATTTTATCTTGTTTTACTTTTTCTTTGTTTGGTTTAAGTTTGTTTTTGATCAGGCTTTTTAAAATGACAGACGGTTTCAGTGTCTCATGGTTGCTAAGCTAACCTGTCCTTTTCTTCGGGGCTCTTGCTGTTTGTTCTTCGTGTAGGTTCAAACTGGAATATGAGTGATGGACAGAAAAAGTTGTTTGATTTAGTGTGTGTGTGTGTAAGGTTTCTTTTATCAACCTCAGAAGTCAAATGAAAAGAACGACGAGTAAAAGTGTTTTTTTTGTTTTTTTTCCATAAAGCTATGCCTTTGTGACAAAGTGAATTTTGGACTTGTGAAAGATTCCATCTGTTGCAACGATCGATGACACCTGTCTAAATGAATAATAAAACAGACCTACATTATATCCTTAAACACTTTTCTTTGACTAATTGTTCTGTGGGACTTCTTCCCCAGCAGTTTCTTCATTGCTCGGGCCAAAACTCCTGTGTCAATCCCAAAAACAGATTTCTGGAAAACAAAGGTTGAATCTCTGCGATCGATGTTCATCTTGCAGACGGCCTCCTGAACCTGAGAGCTGAATGCATGGTGTGGACTTCCCCCACTTTACTGTTCATTTCCCCGCCGCTACAATGTTCAACTGATGCTGAATGTCTGCTTTTTGAATTTAGATTATGATTAATAAAACCGTAATAATTACAAATAAGAACCAGGGTAGCCTCTTCTGTTCACACAAACGTTCTACAGTAAAACTGCACACAAAGGACTTTTAACACGGATGACATTTCAGTTTAATTCTGCTGCCTTCATGGGACATTTGAATAGAAAAGAGAATCGATAATGTTTGGCAACAACTGAGCTTTTCTTACCTTGTAAAAAGATTCTGCTTTGAAAAAAGCCAATGTAAAACGGACGTGTTTAGATTATAAACCTCGATTTAAGAAACCTTGGCAGCTGGTTGAGGTTAGGATTAGTCGTCTGACAGATGTTGGCAAAGCCAGGATAACAAATGTCCCGTCAAGATGCACGCAGATTTGGGCAAGTGGGTAATTACTAGTTTATTCAGTTTTTTTTTAGATTATATTTAATTAAACATCTACTGCGGTTAATTATTTTAGGGTTTAATAATAGCTTTAAAACATTTCTTCAAAATATGTCTGTCATGAATTGATTTTAAAACGGCCACTAGAGGGCGATACGCATTAAGACATTAATTTGTAACTCCCTATTTCCGACCTGTAAACCAAGTATAAGCTCTGATATAGTATGCACGTAAACTGAACACAATCAGAGTTTATGTATTTTCATTATTCTTAGGAAATGATTTCCAACAGCAAAAGTTAAGAAAACAATATCAATTTATTTTTAACTTGCATATGAAAGCAGATATTGCACATGTCAATAATGGCTTGCAGCAACACAATTTAATATAACATCACTCAACACAATGTAAAAACATTTACAAAACAAAGTATGCATTGGCATACACATTTCCCCTTTATACAAAGGATTATGGCTTTAGTTTAACAAAACCTCTTCAACATGGTCTATTAGTGAGTCTTAAGGAGCAGTTAAGGCAAAGGATGCACAATTTATGGTCTGTTTGTGGACCAATAACTTCAGTGTTTATGGTATACATCTCACATCTTTTCCACTAACTGTGGAGTGAAAATACCAAACAAGATTTGGATTCAAAGTCCTCTTTCCATCTGAAAATTACTTTCCATTTGGTGGCCCTTCTTGTCAGCACTTTGAAGACGCACATACACACAGTCCCAAATCTCATTGCATCTCGCCTTCATGTCTAGTTATTCTCACTGGCAGCAGAGGGGGGCCACGTCCTCGGCAGGTGAGGGGAACAGCCGCAGGGCCTCTCTGGAGGATTTGCTGTAGCCGTTTTGGAAGATCAAGGCCTTCTTCACCGTAAAGAAAGAGAGCGTCTTGTCCCAAACGTCAGCGCTGGAGACCCCAGAGTTGAGCTGGTTCTCCAGGGCTGAGCGAAGCCTCACTGCTCGGTCAGTGCACTTCCTCTCCAAAACCATCATCTTACACAGGCTGATGATTAAAAGGAGAAACATCAGGTTAATGCTGGATACATAGTGTTTGTTTACGAAATTCAAGAAAATCTCCCTTCCCAATAGTGAAACAAACACAAGCTGTCTTCTCCTTTGCGGGGCTACCAGACTAAAAACAATATCATTTTCAACTGCAATAGTCTTTTCCAAATGAGTGTATTAATACTTTAAAAAGTTTGAAAATATAAAAACTGTTCTCTTTTCCATACTCTTGTATGGAGGCAAAACTCTCAGAGACAAAAATCTTAAAAACTGTTCAAATAAAAACACATTTACAATATGGGTCAGTGCTAAATTGGTGGTGAACTGTTCCTTCAATAGATAACTTTGACCATCTGCCTCATAGCTTAGTCTTTCATTCAATATTGATTGGAAGTTCTTGGTCAATGAAATTCCTGCATCATCGCACGGTAACACATCCAAACTAAGAAAATCATCCCCATGACCTCAGAGTGACCTTGAGTGAGATAAAGGAAACAAATGCGTCAAATGAACTTCTTCTACAGATGAGTTTTGTGGATCTGAGCTTACTTTGTGTGCTGGTCCCTCATGGTGAATATCAGATAGTGTCCAGTCAGTCGGGAGCGTTCAGAGTTATGATTATTCCCACCACGACCTCGTTCCTTTTTATACTCATACCAACTTTCCCATCGATTTAATGTGATGCTGGTTCTCACACTGTTTGGCCAATCACAAAGCAGTGTTATGACAATAGGATGTGAATGAATTAGTTGAATTCATGGGGTACAATGGCCCAAATCCAAACAAACAGTTGGGAGGGGCCCTTCGTTGTCCTGTTGTCGCTCAGCTGACGCTCCACAGCGATGGAGATATCCTTGTCACTGTGTCGACTGGGAGTGATATGTGGTGGGAACATGGAGGAAAATGTCAGCCCGAGGTCGTCCTACACGGAGGAGAAGTTCGCCCATTCAACAACCTGGTGGAGAGAGATGTTCTTAATGACAGACTGACAAACAACTTCCATTTTTGGTCAAAACATTTACGAAACGTTCAAAAATGCATGTCTTTCCTAAATCCGAATAATACAAAAATTATCACAGTTTCAAATGATTCTAATCTTTTTTCCTGAGGCTAATATTTTAATCCTTCATATGTGTGTTTTTTCCCCTATATTCCACTTTTTACAACTTGTCTTTGCTCACACAAGTTTACATTTGTAAGCCCATACTGTAAAATAAACTTCATCCAACTATCCACAAGTTTCACACACACTCCCTATTCTTCTTTTTAACTTTCTGTCTCTATTTCATCCTCTCCAATTCTCACGGTGAGTGTCTCCCATGCTTGATTGGCTGACAATAGCATACGATCTGTCCAGATGGTGTGCCTGGAAGCCCTGCCGACAGAACTGTGTTCCTGTGTGTGTGTGTGTGTGTGTGTGTGTGTGTTGTGTGTGTGTGTGTGTGTGTGTGTGTGTTGGTGTGTGTGTGTGTGTGTGTGTGTGTGGGTGTGTGTGTGTGTGTGTGTGGTCACTCAATCTTTGTTCGATGGGGCACACTTCCTTTGTGCAGCCGGCCTCAGTGTCATTAACACTGAAGTGTGGGAAGCCTGGGACCACAGCGGCTCCCACGTTCCACACAGGCAGGAAGGGAGCGTGTGACTGAGACGTGGCCAGCGGCAGGCAGGTCAGCCAGCTCTGTGTGCGCGTGTGTGTGCGTGTGTGTGTGCGAGAGAGAAGAGAGAGAAGAGAGGAGAGAGAGAGAGAGAGAGAGAGAGAGAGGAGAGAGAGAGAGGAGAGAGAGAGAGAGAGAGGAGAGAGAGAGAGAGGAGAGAGAGAGAGAGAAGAGAAGAGAGAGAGAAAGAGAATGAGGGGCTGTCTGTAAGAGTATGTGAGGGTTTGCCTGATGTGTGAACATGTGCTGGGAGTGTGGAGGCTGTTAGGATGTTTATGGTTGAAGCACTCTTCTTCTCCCACGGGTCAAATCATCTCACCAACGGTCACATTGAAGTGGACAGACTGAACTTCAAAAGCATGCCAGCCTCTTTTGAGTCCTTTAGTCAAGCAAAATATCCAGTGTCAGTATTGATTTGTTTCAGTGACACTTTAAAAGCAGAGTTTGCAAAGTGCTTTGACAGATGAAAAAAAAACAGGGTAAAAGGTAATATAACAACAGAAAGCTTAACAGTAAGGCCTCCAAAGCACGACCAAATTAAGATCAAGATGCAGAGATATAAAAGAGAAATGACAAATTATGGTGAAAGATAACCATCAAGAGATGTTGTTTACAATTGTATAATTTACAGTTGAACCAGAACAGGTCGTTAAACTGTGATAAGTATTTACATTTGAATAATTATGATCTCTAAAATTCACCTGACGCCACCTTGCCCACACAAAACCCAAAAGAAAAGAACATTTAAAAAAACTGTATCATATTAAAGAACCAATAAATAATGGAAACTGTATGTGGGTCAAACAGAAATATGAATGTAAGAGTCCACATGTGGTTCTTTTCCTCATCAAGTACATTTTATTTGAGTCACAAAACCTACAGAGAGTCACTTTTCCTTTTCATCTCTAAGACATCTCAACTGTTGCACAGGTCCACGAGAAAGTCTGCCGTGTCAATCCGGTGGAAGTGGCTGCATGTTGGCCTTGTCTAATGCTTGGCCCTCTGTAGCTCCCACGTGTGCCTGGTGGCGGAGGCACTTTGTGCTCAATTACGTGGCGGTTGAGATGACATGAGCCAGCGGCGTGCTTCCCTCTGGGGTCACCACTTTCCCATATCAACACAAGCACTGGGTCAGTCTCCCAGCTACCCCCCCCGCCCACTTCCCCCCGCCCCACCCCACCCCGGGCTCTTTTCTCTCTCTGTCTATTCCTCCACCTGCTCCCCGGAGACACACTCATTGTCCCCACGGCTATAAACACTTCATTGAGCATGTGGCAGCCCTGCGTTGCTCAAAGCCCTTCCCAGCGCTCTCATTGGCCAAGGGACTGTGAGAAACTCCAACAAGCCCAAGACCCACACATTCATATGTAGATTTGGGAGTATAAATACAGGGCTGAGCCAGAGGAGAAGGCAGTTCAGACTCAACTGACTCTTCACAGCGAGCAGGAAGCGCTCTTACTCTACAACTATGGCACCCACTGTTTTTGGACAAGCAAGCTACACTAAGGAACACATTGCTCCTGCTCATAAGGTACATTGATTTCTGCAAATTCACATAACCTTATTGTTGAATAGTTTTCATATGATATCAACAAAAAGTTGTATTCTGTATTCTAAATGTTTTTTCTTCTTCTTTCTTCAGCTGAGAAAGCCAATGGTAGAGAAGCTGCGCAGAGACCGCATCAACACCAGCATCGAGCAGCTGAAGTCCCTGCTGGGCCCGGAGTTCGTCCGGCAGCATCCCGACTCCAAGCAGGAGAAGGCAGACATCTTGGAGATGGCCGTGGCTTATCTGAGAGTCTGGCAGAAGCAAAGAGCCAGCAAGTCCTCTGGCATGGTGCAGGCCGGCGACGGGTACTCCCGCTGCGTGCAGGAGGCCGTCAGCTTCCTGTCCCACTGCGAGGTGCAGACCCAGGCCCACCAGCGGCTGCTCAGCCACTTCCAGGGCCTGCAGGGGTCCAGCCCCTGCAGCCTCTCCCCTCCTGGCTCCCCTCTCCATC